GCCAAAGTCCATGCTCACGTCGTCGAGGGCCGCGTTGATCTGGACCTGGATGTCTCCCGCCGGGGGCGATCGGATGATGGTGAAGGGGAGGGGCAGCACTTTGACGTCCTGCGGACAGGCGTCAATGGGACAGTCCCTGTTCTTCTTCATGAGCGCCGTGAGGGCGGAGTAGTGCTCGATGAGCTGGCCCAGCGCCGCCTTCTTGCTGGCCGTGGACTTGCGCAGCGCGGCGCCCTCCCCTGCGAGCTGGTTGACGAGCGGCTCCACGGACACGGGCAGGCCCTTCCAGCACACCTCCCTGTCCTCCTTGCTGATGATGCCCACCGCGTCGAACACATTGAGCACGTCGTAGACGCGGCGCCGCAGGTTGTCCCCCTCGCTGTTGGCACCCGACCCCTCCCCCCGACCCGTGGCCGGCGCCAGCTCCCTCACCAGCTCGTCCGCCACGGCGCTGTAGGACGTCCGCCCCTGGCTCTCAACCGCCGCCATGACCCTCAGGCTCGTGTACTTCAGCCCCTTCGACTTTCGCTGCATTTTGGCAGACGCCTGCGCCTTCCTCCGCCTGCCCCCCCCCCAATCCCCAGCGCCACCTACCCTCAGGTCGGGCACCGGCAGCGCCCTCCCGACGGCCCTTCGCTTAGCCCTGTGCCCCTCCTTGTCCAAATGGCCGTGACTAAATCGGACGCCCCTCCCGTCGTAGGCGTGGCCCTCGCTGGGCTCGCCAGCCGCGTCCAGGCGCGCGTTGAGCACCTCCTGGCTCAGGCTCGAGGCGCCGGCCATTGACGCGTACGCCGGCACGCCCAGCACCGCCTGGGAGGATGTTGTCTGCGACGATGCGCCACACCGGCCCCCTCTCCCCCCACGGGACGGCTCCAGCGCCGCGGGGACCGCCCAGCCATCCCCGCCCTCCCCTTTCCGACAGCCCATTGGGGCGCGGCCGTCCGGCCTCCCGTCTCGGCATCGGGCGTCCCGCGGCGGGTCGCGGCATTTGTGGTGCCCCCGACGGGACAGCGCAGCGCCGATCGATCCCGCGAACTGGAGCGTCGGCCCCCCGCCGGCTGCGCGCCCCCGCCCATTTGCCGGCGATTCGATTCCGGCGTCGGATGGGATCCTCCCCGGACGTCGCCGGGCCCCCGCCGTGCTTCTGGATGCGGTGTGCGATTCGGCCAGGGACAGGGGCGCCTTGATCTGGCTCACGGGGGTGTCCACGTCGCCCCAGTCGGGGTCGGACTTGGGCCGCGCGGGCGACGACGCCTGCGTCTGGGACCCGCCGCCAGTGGCCTCCACCGGCACCAGGCAGATGGGCGACCTGGAATGCGACTGGGCGGCGTCGGATGCACGCCCACCGCGCTGGCGGAATGCCCGGAACACGTCGGCGCTGGTGGCCACCGCTCTGGCCTCCTCCGGGCGCCGCGGAGGGCGGGGAGACGCCACGCAGTCCCCCCACACCCCGAGCTGGCCGTAGCCATGCTCGGGGGCCTCCCACTCCTGGGGCGCACCCTCCGTTGCGCCCAGAGATGTTCGGCCCCTGCGCTTCTCCGGCGTGGCCTGCAGCTCGATCTCCCGGGCGGCGGGGTAGCCCGGCTCCGGTATGATGGGCGCCATGGGGTCCTCCAGGGCCAAGTCGAAGAGGCCGAAATCGTGCGCCTCGCGCAGGAATTCCTGCCGCAGGGCCTCTGAGAGGCTGTCCGCGCAGGGCCCGCCGGGGGCCCCGCCGTCCGCGGACACTGGCGTCGCGGACATCGACACCCGGCGCGCCTTCCGCCCCAGCTGCTGCGCGCGTGGCCACAGAGCGGCGTGCCAAATTTAGAATCACCGACGGGAGCTTGCGCGTGCACGCAGAACTCCGCCACGGCAAGTAGGGCCGCGCGGTGCGATTGCGGCCCCGTTCGAGCCCGTGGATCGGATTCTCGCTGCGCGCAAGGCGGAGAAGAGCGCCGGGCGCGGGTTGAACCGGCGGGCCGTCTGTCATCCCCCCGTTGGCCCGCCCGGTGCCGTGCCCGTTTCGACGGCCACTCACATCGTCGGCCGCCGATGCTGCCGGCGGCGGCTGCGCGGATGCTCCCGTTGGATTTCGGCCGGTGGTGTTTTTGGCGGAGCGTGGAGGCGGTCGTCGAAGAGAGGCGCGCAGTTTGCGCCTGAGGGCACGCGCAGATCGGCAGGCCGCACGGCAACAGAGCCCCGCCCTGGCCCCCACAGAATGGACGTTCGGCAGGCAATCTGGGGAAAGCCAGTGCCAGAAACTCTGGGGGTGTTTGTGGGCTGACGTGTGTCTACCGTACGTGGGTGCGGTAAGACATCCGGGAAACCGTATTTTGGCGTATCGCGCGCCTGTACAACGGCGGGCTAGCAGTATTGCTGGGCGGGTCCCCCCGTTCCGGGGCCGACCCTCCCCGGAGGTGCCGGGCCCGGGGGCCCTTGCGCGGCGCAGCTCGCCTGGCAGGCTGGCGGGTGGCCAGATTCGCGTTGTGGCCCCGGGGCGGGCGTGGCAAGAGGTGCATCGCCCTCGCCGCTGCATCAGAAAATTGATCGCAAATTGAATGTGCGATTGGCGATTAGTTGTCAAGGTTGAGAAGAGTCGGGATTAGTTTTTAGTTTTATTACTTCTATTTATTTACTTTGATTATGTCAATAGGTAGAATGATTTGCGATTGACAATTAAATGTCAAAAACGCCCGCTCCAGCTGCAAGGAGGCGCACATGTCGTGTGATAGGATGGGCCAGGCATCTCGACACTGGAATATGATGCGGCATTTGGAATCCACCAAAAAATCGACAAACAACGCTCATGCGTTACAGTACAACTGGGCACCGCCCTGCGGTGGTGCTCTGAAGGGCTGCCGTCGATTTCGCTCCAAACAGGCGCCCGCGGGGCGTTCAGTGCATAAGCGTGCTGCCACACGTGCATCCGTGATAGCCATGGCCGTCCATCGTGCTCGCCCTCGCGTCGCCCATTTCCGGGTGACCTGTAGCCGACATCCTCTGGCAGCCCCTGTTCAGGGGAATGTGCGCTTCTTCTCAAAGGGGGCCAAGCTCTGCGCCAAGAATGACGCAATGCAACTTGCTGCCCACCAGGAAAAAGAGGGCCAAATAACACGTGTTCAAACGTGTGCAAAGTCCACGGGTTTGGGTTATTTCCGTGCTTTTAGCATGCATAACGCTGATGAGATGCATATATATGTGTTCGCAAAAAGTGTTATTTGGTCCCTTTTCCGCTAGTGGCCGTGTGTACATGCTGCACACTAACACCTTGTGTTGCTGTTGAATATGTGCTTATTTTCTGGTGTGCATTTTTGGTTTTGTGTGTGCTCTTGTGTATTTCTGTTTCTTTTTGTTGTGTGTTTTGGAATGCCCTTCACCCACCAATATCGCTGCGTTTCAGGCCGGCTTGCAGCTCTGCACAGTGCGTGTCGAGAGACCAACAGAAACTGACAGTGCCCATCAAATCCTCAGAATGGCTTACAAGGCAACGCTCGCTAGATTTTGCCTTAGCCGTAATCACCTGGAACAAGTTGCCAAACAAACGCCGGCATCGAAATTGCGTGAACCCATTGTAAACGCATTCCATCTCATCGTCTGCCAGGTTGCCTGCGTGCAGATGTATCTGGCGTATCCTTTCGCTGAGATGTTGGCCCCTTGTTGGATGAGCTGCCGACGACCGCATGGGGGGATGCTTCAACAAACTTGATGCCCCGATCGAGTACGCCAAAGGGCACCTGCACATGCGCGAGGCACAACACGAGGATGCTTGTGTTCTTCTTTCAGCCAATCGAGAAATTCGAGGGGCTGACACGACGCGCCAATTGGCGTTCTCCTTGCAAGGAAAACGGCACCAGCGAGCCGGAGGAACGCACGCTGCAGTGGAAAAACGTGGAGGACGAGCTGAAAAGCGGAGAGCTGCTCTCATGAGGACATGCCTGCACCCCGTCCCCAGCCGGCGGGGTGATGGTTCAAATGTTGCGGGGTCTGAGGGAGCTATGCAAACAGGTTGAGCGACGCAATTCGACTGCGTCCAAGTTGCGGCAATCTCTCAGAACAGTGTGCCTTCGAGACACCGTATGTCGTATGCATGCATGAACCCAGAATTGTGTTTGCTCTGACGGTGTTTGTGCTGTTCCCAATGATGCAGGGTGTGAACAAAACTCAAATTCCACCAACCAGCCCGCCGGCGATCTAACAGACACTGGCGAAGCAGCTTGGAGGTGCCGGCAGAGCCGGCAAATTTGTCCGCCGTCTAAAAGGGAAACTTTGGTGATTTCATGCGCTTTTCCGTCTGGCAGATGCTGCCATGCCCTTCGCCATTGTGTAAGCCGACGGCAAAGCGCCACCAAAACATACCAGGATGTGATCCCCTGCGCATATCCAGAGCCTTGCACACACATGTATAAAATGCCTCCAAATTTTGCATTCTTGCAGCAGCAATGAGCCGTTCGTTATCGCGAAAGGCCTATTGCATCATGGTGCAATTGGCGGTTCGTTAGAAGCAACTCTTGTACATTGGGCACATCTTCAGAAGATGGAGAATCTCCACCCCACAATAGGCATCAATTCGCCTTTAGCAGTCATGCCAGTCATAGAACCAACTTCCGATCCGCTTGTAGTTCCACATGCGGCACTCTACAGGGCCGTGCGGGACGTGAGAGGTGTCGGTGGCTCAACTTCAATAGGCCCCCCCCCCGGTTGGTGGGCCCATCGATGCCACCTGGTTGCGTGACACGTACCGACATCAGTATGTGTCCGCAACCCGCCAGGAAAGATGCCTTCGCTTCTAAATTGTAAGTAGATTACAGTTGGTACCATTCCCGCTACTTAGCCCTTTCCTCTCCAATTTTTGCATTTTCGCACATGCTCAACTCCTATTGCGTGCCAAACATCGAACCCTTGAAAACATTTGTACATTTGTGCGACGCCAGCAAATTCGGAGGCTTAAGCGATCACGAAGCTTCCTTGTATGCCCAGCTATTTCGTGTGCCAGACTGCTCAGCCTCTCTGCCAAATACTCAAGATGAGTCATCCCTCGAGCGGAATACCAAGATGCTGGTTTTGGAAGAACGCAGGATCTCGATAACCTGTGGCGGTGTCGATTTGGCGGCCGGTGCTTGAATTGCCAGGATGTCGATCTTTTCCTTTGCCACAGCCTGAACCGCGAACGCACTTTGAGTGAGGAGGTTGCATGGACTCGGACAGTAGCAACTTGCAAGAAAAATGCAACAGAAATGCCTAAATTCACGACGCCCATCTGCCACAGGCAGACAGAGCTCAGCATTCAAACTCTGCTCGATTTGCGAACAAATACCATGCCTCAGAGCCCCATCCATTCCATGGGGCTGACACATATATGGCTGTTGGCGCTGACTGTGCAATTGATCTACAGTGTAATCCAACGCCGTTTCGGCCGACATGCATTCGAATTGTTCATTGGCATATCGTGCCGTATTGGATGCTCAGGCCGTATTTTGGCAAAACTGAGCACTCTGAAAGATTGGCGGCCAGGGACACACGCTTCAGGCGAAGGGCATGGAATCTACCTGTTTGAGAGATTCACTAGCATCTCCCTTCAGTGGCCTCTTGACAGCAGTGAAATTATTTGCCACCGCCAGCTCAGCAAACGTGCTGAGCATCCTTTGCGCGGTTGGAGTCTCTTGCTCCGTATTGTCAATGGCTCGAGGCTTGGCGAGGAATATCTTGTCCACGCTCGCATCCAGCCTGTTGAGCGTCCAGTCTATCATTGCCCTGCACGTGGGTCGAACCTCGAACATGCACCTGATTCCTTGCGGCGGTCGCGCTGAGCACAAGTGTTACATGCACAAGTGAGTGCACAAAGCATTAGACAGCACTCAATGCGAGGGCATTGCCTTGCCCCGCAAGTGTGTGTACATCCATATTGCCTCTTCAACTAGAGAATGCGCAAATGTGGAGGGTAGATTTCCAGCCCAATGGCCCTCAATTGGTCGTAAGCAGGTCTGCAGGCTCATTGCAAAGTGGGATTAACGACATCGAAGGGCAGGAATCCGCGTGCGGTGCAAAGGGCTGCACAGTAAGACCAATCAAAAGCGTTTTGAGCATTTCCGATCGCCGGTACCTCGCCAATCCGCCCATCTGTTTCCCTATGCACATGGCATCACAAGCCCGCTGCATTCGACGATGCTCAGGCGGCCAATCAGCAGCATACCTGCGCCGTCCTGTGGCATCCTGTGGCTGTCCCCCACAGAGTTGACCTTCACCACAAGGACGGGGAGGAACGTGAGCGTCTTCACGACAGTGATGCAGAACGAGCCCATGACTTCCGTCACGTCCTTTGCGAGTTGCTCCGACCCCGCCACCACAATGTCCGCCTCCACGCTCCTCGTGTATTGCTCCATCAAGTCAATCACCTGACACCAGGAGCGCAGTTGGAAATGGCCCAGAACGGCCATGGACGCATTGGTACAATTGAATCCGCTCTCCCGTGCACTGTGCGGAGAGATGGCATCTTTCACTTGGTGCCATGGGCGGCGGGCGCAGCGAGGCCCGTCATGCTGCCGGGTGATTATCGGATCCCTCCGCCAACGGATATCCGTATATCGGCGCAAAATGCAATCGAGAGCCTCGAGATCGCAAAGAAGCATGACCATACAGCGGTAAACTGTGCGCGAGTTTTTGACTTGTTGTGATGCTCAAGCAGCTGGAATCTGGAGGCCACATGTCCGGCGCATATATGGTAATTACGAGAATCCTAGTTTCCATTGAGGTAATGCTTAGTGGAGTGAATCCTTTGAGGAGAACTGCCGTGCGCCCAAGTGTGCTTCAAGGCCGCAGCACCTCGCGTGCCTGAAAATATGTGGTACGTGGCCGTATTTGCCACGTAATGCTGGCATAAATGTTGCAGCTAGGTCCGCGGCACTAGTGAAAAACAGGCCAAATACATGGTTTCGAAAATATTACACGGTGTAAGTCGTGCAAATTGATTAAAAAATGTAAACATCGCATTAAAATCGTATAAAATCGTGTATTTATCGTACAGCAATGGGGCCAAACTGTGTAGTAACGATTGAGCGTACATGAGTTTTACACGGTTTGGCACGATTTTTACTCAGTTCGGAGACGTGAATTTGGCCGATTATTACTTGTGTGGAGCGACCCAGAATCGTTGCAATCGGTGTCGCCAAACGTAAGCCATAATCTTCTCAAACCTTGCCTGAACCTCGTGTCAATATCTTATGGATGATCTGTCCGCTCTTGACCACATCCCGATACCCCTCGAGCATGCTCTTTGCCTTTCCGATCGACTCGTCGCTGACAACAGAAGTCACAACATGCAGCTGGTCTACTTCATGGCGCAGAAGGAGCCTGGCGGTGCGGAAAGCCATCTTGCTCACCAGGTTGTCCACCACGAACAATACTACCGTGGTCCCTGTAAGAGCAGATGCCAAGATTTGGTTTAGCAGGCAATGAGCGTGTGCACCAATCCCAAGCTAATAATGCGTTGGAATTGCAAACAATGAAGTCATTTTAAGAAAATCTACCTGAATGATTATAACACGAGTCCACGGCCATTGGCAGCAGCCATGACGAACTTTAAAATCTTCGTTGGCGTCATTCTGGCACCCTCGAATTCTCGCAGTTGCAATGGATAGAGCCGCAGACTATTTGGTTGCGATTGTCACACCAATTTAAACGATTCTGTAGCCAAACAGGAAACGCATCGGAATGTACCAATGATAGTTTTCAAGATGACAGATTCAATTAGGAGAGCATTGCTGCACGCAAAATTATCAACCTTTATTACTCTCATCTTCTTGCCACTCCCATTTTTCAGAGTCTAAAGGGGTAGGACGTGCCGCGACGGGAATAGAGTTTTCCGAATTGTCACACGCAAGACTTAAAGAATGAAATGTCATACTTCAACACCTGGATACGATCACCACTCTCTGATCAGGGGACACCACCACCAGAGGGACGCACGTGTCTCCAATCCCTTTATCATGCTTGTGCTTGCGCAACTGCCACAACGCAACAGCCCACTTCGCCACGCAACGCAATCAGAGCCTGGCCACCTTCCGGTCGGGCTCACCTCTCCTGGCGGCGCCCATCTTCGACTTGACGATCACAGGTGCGGCTGAGCTGCTGCACGTCATGGCAGCCAACTGAAACGCGGATTGGCCGTCTTGGTAAGCCAGCCGGGGCACGGCGTCCTGAAACCAGGCCCTCTCGTACACCCTGGTCTTCAGACAGGGACCGCGGGTGTTGGTGAGAATGGAGGCGCACGTGGCGCCCTTGGCTGATGACAGATCCGCCAGGCTGAACGTGAGATAGGCGTACTGCCCATGGACCTCGATGTCGGGACGGAAAGTTGCGGCGCCCCACTGTCGCGCAGCAGAATCGAAAACTCATCATCCAAACCCACAAATGTTGCAGAAGCAACAGGTATACAGCGAAATGTTCAAACCATCAGCACGGCGACGTAACGCTTGGCCTTTTTTGAATCGGAGTAACGCAACAGTGTCAAGAAAGTGTAGAGCAGCCCCAACAGCAATGCGAGGGTCTCTAGAATGCTCAATGGGCACTGCTCATGGCGTCTAGCGGGTCCAGCTGCACAAGTCGCCATGGCGGAAAATCGGCGATTGAGGCCACGCGAACTCAGCAGAGTCGCCATTCGGGCTGCCGCCACGTTTCTGATCCCCCCAAGTACATGCCTGTCCAAAAAATGCGGAGCAAAAACAGTAACGGTGACATTTTCTGATGAAAGAGGGTTGAGCATTTTGCGGTACGCTGATGGTATTGATTTAATCGCCAATGCTCAGTGATAATGCGCGGGAATGTGATGGCGAGACGGGATGGCGCACTTTGTGGTGCCGAGATAGGGTGGCGCATCTTGGGCTCCCTTTCAGCAAAGATCTGGTGCTGCGCACGGCGATTGGTCACGACCACAGCGCCGTTCCAGGCAAGCAGCTGCTGGAACAAGTTCGGGAACTTCAGTTAGTGTCACAGGTGCATCCACTAACGCTGCAAAGAATGCAGCAATGTTGATGTGCAAATGCGATATGGAGAAAAACATGCTGGAGGCGCAGCAGTGGCGTACCACAGTTTCCTGGAGGGTTTTTGCCTTGACCATGTATCTGTGTGCACAACACACGACATCTCGGCGTTCTTCCGCATCCATGACTAACGCTCGTGTCCTGGGTGTCTGAAGGTCCGTAATCTTCAAGTTGCACGTGTCCCGCGGGTTGCTTTGGCGACCCATGACTAAGCTCATGTGAGAGCGGGCGAGGGTGGAGGTCTCCGACTGCAAGACCTGCAAAACCGCCAGAAAGATATGGAGTCAATGAGCATCCTCTCGAGGCCACCTTTTAAATGTTGCCAATTCCAAATATCGCAGCGGCAAAACTACAACCGTACGTAATTCCCACCCGCTTTCCATTGCTGAAACCATCATATCATTTGCTCCCAAAGATACCAAAGGTTACAAGCTGGTGGTCTGCGCCATTACGGAAGGCAACCCAATACGTCATCCCCCTGCGGGGTGCGGCCTCAGAGACGCGAGGATCTTCCGCTCATCACCCTGCCACAAATGAATGCAACAAAATGCAACAAGATCACTCCGCAGAAGTCAATCTACTGTGGCGGGGTCTTATCGCAGTGACGTGCTCTGAGCATCGCTTTCTCTCGGAACACCATGGAAAGTTGTTCTGAAGGGGTCGACAACTCCACCGTCACCTCCATCGCCATGTTGGATCCCTTTTCGTCGCAGCAGTACAGCGTGGTGGCCCAGAAATCCAGGTTCACTGTGGCGTCGGGCTTCAGCATCTCCCAGTCGAACATCATCTGCGTGCTGATCCACTCCACGTCGGATCCTATCAGCCACTGGAACAACGGCGCGTCATAAAGTGAATGGGCCAGATATCGATACAGTCAAGGGGTAGATAGCATAAAATGTTGATTGGCGTACAGGAGATACGAACTGTCATTCTGTGGCCATACACACCTCCAGCACGGTACCATCCAGTAGTTCGTATTGTCCGCTTTCCGAGTTCACTGAAAATCCAACTCCTGGCCATCTCAGGGCCAGGACACCCCATCCGGTCCCGGCCGGCAAGCGATGGCTGTCGGCAACCGGCTTCATCTCGTTATCTTTCTGACACGGGACAAGCACAAGAATAGGTCAGCGCAAGGGAGGAGGTTGATTTCGGACAAGGCCGAGGAAGCGCCAACAGACGCAATCTCAGCAAGCTTCCACCGGGGGGTTGCCCACCAAAGTCAAGCGAACACTTGCGAAGCAGCTCGGCCACAAGAGATCATTCAACATTCACAAAATATCAAATAGTTGCAGAGAACAGTGCGTTGCTTACGGAATATTCAATTCAAACAGAACAGAAGTAGGCAATTTTATTAGCTAAGTGAGTTCACATAGCAGCAGGGAAGAATTGACACCCAGAACCAGGTATAGTTTATGCAACTCAAGCAGTATCTGTGAATTTTGATATGCAAGATACACCGCCATGAACGTACCAAATCATGTAGAACTCCGGGAAACCTGGGTATCTTGATGACGACCAAGTTTTCAGGAGCCAAGTCATAGAACTTGTGCTTCAAGAGCATTTGACATATTTGTGGTTCAAGCTCCTCATCCACGCAGAGAACGACCTTCAACCTCTTCACCGCAGCAGACCCCACCAATTTTTCGATGTCCACAATGCACTGCAGCAATCTGCGGCTGATGACCGGCAGACCTTCCAATCTGTCGCCAAGCGGAACCTGACGGTCAGAAAGAAACATACGATCACATACGATCCTATAAATGCTTCCAACTGCCCTGATACACCAGATGTATAGAATTGACCTGCATGGGAGATCGCGCCACAACAAGTATTCTGGCAAACACATTGCGTGCATAAATGGACGTATATTAAGCCCCTTGAAGCTCCAAGAATAGAAACAGATTACAGAGGAAACGGAACTTTCCACAAATGCAGTTAGTTGGCCTTCATTTTGGAGAGAATCCTCCTGGCCTAAGCAGGGGGGATCATCGATTATTCGATTAGCTTGTATGACTAATGAAAGATTGATTTTTCCTGTTTCCGATTCCGGATTGTTTTGCGAAAGGGGTGGCGGGGCGCTTCAAGCAATTACTGATAAGTACCTTCCAGGGATAGAAATCTTGGACCGGCTTCCATATGTCCGTAACAAGGATCGACTGAGTCCCGATCTCCCCTGACGTCAGCTTCACAGGAATTTCTTGCCCTGCATCTATAAGCTGCAGCGCAACCTGCGGCCGCAAGCAGTTCATCTTGGGTGGCAAACAGAAGCCCAGGATCACTCTACTAGGGGTAAACAGAAGACTGGGAGCATAGGTCCAAGGGTTGGGTATTTTGCCGAGCACAAAGTGCTAGAGAACATGGGAAACTTAAACGCAAGGAATGCCAAGACGGTGGGTAAAATTGAAAGTGCCAAGCTTTTTCCCGTCCATAGATGCAATCAATTATCACTACACGCCGCATGTGTATGTTCGAAAAATACATCACGTAGACTACTGCATGGTGGTTTCCGATGTCCCAGGATAGCAAGGCGACATGTAAAGGCAAAAATAATGGACTGAACTTGATATGTGCGTGGTATCAGTCCCACGCAGGGTCCCACGAGGGTTTACCGATATGCAACTGAGTATGCGTTCGTTTCAGTACGATTCACGGCAGAGAATGCTGTTTCTGTGTCGCAGGTGGGGCGTCCCTTAACAATCGAAGCAAACTTTGCCGCAAAATCTAGGATGCATATTATCCAATCAAACACACTGTCCATGAGTGGATCACATACGAAAGAAATCACCTCTCAGTTGAGTTTGAGGCATTGGCCAACTCCGAGCTATTGTCTAGAATTTGGATGGACAACAGGTTATGTATCGTGTATCGCGTTCCTTGTGTATTGCGTGTATCGTGCATCACATCGTGCGTACATGCATTACATTTTACTCTGCGCTGTTTTATGCAAATGAGATTCCGATGTTAGTTAATGCCCAGGGATCTTGGAGCCAGAAGCAACCTTGTCTCTTTTACCTTGCCCTGCTCCAGGAGTTCCTTGGCAATCTGCCTGTACGCCAATATATCTGACCTTCCACCAAACACGATTTTGGGGTCGTATACGTGGGGCGCAACCCAGGCTTCTTCTTCCACCCACCGCGCATTGGCTCTGTTTGCGTGCATTTGCATGAGTAGACGGGAGTCGCTTATCATTGACAGTAGTTTGCTCGGTGCTCCTAGCTACACACACATCACCAGAAATGAAATTGCGGTTGCCGGCACGGCCAGCAGAGAATCATCTCGTCCTCACGCAGTTTCTCAACTTCGGTCCAGTGCACCGAGCCCTGGGAGCACCTGGTATTTTCTGCTCCCCGTGCCTCTTCTGCGCACAATAAGCGCCTAAACGAAGGGAGAGCGTCTAGGATAGAATCTGCATTTTAGCATTTTGCGCTATATGCACTGCGAAAGTAGATATTTTCAGATAAAAACGTTCGACTTGGTCTAAGGAAGGGAACAGCTATTTCGAACTGAGGCACACCTCGTACAGACGGACAGATTTTGGGGCATTAATCCCTGCACCTTCATATTCGGCATAAATTTGAAGACATATGTATTTGAGGACATGCGTCGCTTTCGACAACGTTGGCATTCAATTCCACGTAGGAGACAGGACAAATTTGCGCGTTGGATTGCAAACCAAAAGGATATCTGCATATACCAAAATATTCCCACATATCCAATTACATAATTCAGCTGCTTGCATAGGGTTGTTCGATTTGCTCAAAAGCTTTTGCTCGCTTTAGACCAGTTCAGATACTTTTCTCCAAGCCTCAGGACGGCACTGAGCGTTCATGGGTTGTCAATTCGGACTGGTTGACCTTTGCATGCATATGTTCACTAGCAAGAATATGCGCGTCCAAATGCAGTAGTGGCCTTTCACCTCATCTCTGGACTTCTCTCTCTGGAAGACGCTGTCAAATTCCGAAAACTGCATTGCCACCTTCCCAGCGATGTCCATCTCTTTGCTGTAAGCCTCGTCAGCACTCCTCTTAGTGCCCCCTTGCTGGACCTCCAGGTCATCCAATTTTTGTCTTAAATCTTGTATCTGCGCATGGCGGACGGTTCAAGCAGCTTTTCTAGTGCTTTTGCGCATTTCTACCGGATATTGCTCTCAGGTATATATCGCGTACACCGTAACGCAATGGAATTTGGGTTCTGACGCTGCATCGCTGGGCGCCGCAAAATCGACTCTCGCGTGTTCATCAGCATTCCCAAACGTACCTGCGGCGGCAATATGGACAACGCAGTGGCATCAACGACAACAGGGATGCCGAAAAAAAATATTGTGTTGGAAATTTTAACATACATTACAAAATGCAGCCACCTGATTGGCAATCAGAGAGTCCGGAGACGGCGTGGGGGGCCCTGTGTCCTCGCCTCTTGACGCAGGCACCGATTCAGGCTGGTTGCTTCTCTTGGATTTCTTCAGAGCTTTATTTCTCCATTTTCTGCCCTTTTCCAGCGCAATAAGAATAGGGTTCCTGCGACCCTCGGTGGACATGAAGTTCGTGTATAGGGCCTGGTGGCGACAAAAGCTGGGCGCTGAGGTGCCCAGCACAATCATCAAATAAGCCTGCAACAAAACTCCACCAAAGTGCTCAGAAGCGCTACTTGAGCCACGTTTCTCACGTGCCTGAGCGCCCCCTCCAAATATGGTGTTGGATTAGAACGTGCAAGAAAGTCAAATGCGAGGCACACTCATTGTGAATGCACGACATCTGAAACTTCAGCCTTGACCAAACATTCGAAGCTTGAGTGACGGCGGCCGTGGCTCACCGGTATGCTGTCCTCCCGAATCGTTGCGGCATACCCCTTTCTGTGCCTGACTTCCATCATCACAGTCTTTAGGTAGATATAGGCCTTTCGCTTCGCTCGCTCGATGTTTTTCCTCCACACTGGCGCCTGATTCGCAAATTCAGCTGTTTTCAGGAGTAATGCGCAGGGTTTGGATTGGAATGTCAGCATTCCAAGCAACTTGCTCGAACTCTACAGCGAAAATCATAATCACATGCCCAGATAGATGTTTGGGAAGCAAAGCCATCTTCCCGAGGATTCCAGCAGTATTTCAAGACAATACTGCACATGCCACCAGACGAGCACTGGGCAAGTCGCTGATGTCTATGCAGCTGAAGCGAATCCCTGCGTAAGCGACAGCGGCCTTATGTTGCTTGGCAGTATTTTGTGGATGGGTAACAACTACTCCTTCATCATCGTGGAAGCCATATTGTCTGGTCAAAAGCACGAAGTACATATTCCTTTATTTCGAAAGTGGCAATTGAACAGCACGTCACATGAGAGTCGCAAGGAGGTTCTCACGTATGCAAAACTATTGCCCCCGAGGTGGAAATACATGCACAGTTGTCAGAAAGCCTCCCAAATAAAAGGTCGCTAGGACGCATTACTGGCAAGGAATCTTGACTGAACACACCTCTAACTGCTACCCGCCATACCTTCCCATGATGGTCTTTGCTACTGTTCCTTTTCGGTTGGCGGGGATTTCGAGAATTCCTTCGACTCAGCGTCTTCATGAGTCTCCTGTTGCAGTACACAAGCTCAGAGCACTAATGGCGCCAGTCAGCAATCCGTTGGGATCGCATTTCGGAGACATGTTATGCACGGGATGTCGCGCGTCACATGTTTGGCATCAGGGAATATTTTATGCTGTGGTGCAATAGAATTGAGCATATTTTCCAAGGCATTGCTTGAATGCGCTTCCCATTTCATACGGAACTAGAATTTCATCACCTGTCCCACGTCGCCTTCCTCGGAACTGTTTCGCTCCGCCGAGACGGATCAGTCTTCACCTGGTTCCCAATCCAGGGTTTCGCTTTTCTTCCGGTCCCAGTATCAACCTGAGCAGCGAAACCCATTACTTTCGCTGAAAGCATTCCCAGAACAACTGCAGCGTAGTGGCATTCTCTTGTCGACAATGCAGAGTCGAAAATGCGGTACATTGTCGCATTTAATGTCCATTAGCGTTAGACATCCCCCTCTCAAACTCACAGCATGAATAGAGAACCAGTGCGAATGGTAGTCCCACAAAACACCCAAAGCAGACTTCCACATGGAATCCTTCCAAGATAGGCATGCCATCACTCGGACGTACAACAAAGCTACTTTCCTAGTCAGCGGCTCGCAAGTCAATTGTTATGGGGCTGCAAGTTTGTGGGGGCATCTTTGTCTCCAATTGCTCGTTTGATGGATCTCTGAACCAATCCTACCATTGGTCCAACGGGAGCCTTAGGCTTCCGAACACGGGGCATCTTCAACAGCTCCTTCTCCATCAAATCTGCCTGGTCGCGGACGGCGTCCTACGCGCAAAACGGCAAACCCCATCAGAACAGCCCTTGACGGGATGGGGCTCCGCACCACGGTAGGGTGTGGGCCGTGGAGTGGCCCTGACACAGCAAGATGGAACAAAAAACCGCCAATTTTCGTGATGAAATTCAGCCAAGGAGCAAGGGGTTGTCTATTCGTGTTACGTACGTTGCAGGTGGGAACGCAATCACCCACCAATGTTTGCGGATATTCCGACATTGCTGCAGCACACAGATAATCGGAAGGCAGAAGAGTAGATCCTGCAGTACGTCTGCGCCTGTTCTCAAGGCTTGGCTTCACGTACCTGCAGCCATTCCAGCTTCTTGTTGAGCGAATCGCCTCGCCTGATGGCGGGCCGATCCCATCCTCCCAGCTCGTCCAGTGTTGGGGTTTCGTCCCTTTCTCGGGTGTGATGCAGATGGACGCCTGACGAGCGCGAGGTGCCATTCCCCATGGAAAGGTAAAGGGCATCGAGGGTGATCCAAAATCTGAGGAATGCGCTGCAGCGGTCTCGAAAAGGCTCACCACCCTGAGGTCAGTCCTATTGTCAGCTTGCATCTTAAACATTAAAAACCAATGCAAATCGAAGTGCCAATCAAAGTCAACAGCCGCTGCCCACGAATCAGCCGGCCGCAGAATTCCTGATGCTAGATCTGTAAGCCTACGACCAGGCGCATTTCAGCGTTTTCTGAAATTGGGCTGATCTTCACAGCTGTGCGCGCCCGTGCGCTGTAGCGGGTATTGTGTACTGGTGCTGGGCCACAGCACAGGACTGCATTGTGCTTTTGTGACTGCGGTTTCCGCATCGAGGCAACAAGACTGAAGGGCCGCTTCTGGTCGTTTATATTGCGTTCTGGAGATTGTAAGGCCAGCAACACAGGTGATGGACGAGCAGGTGCCTGCAATGGCAGCCTATTCTCAATGTTCAGCGCTGCATCAGTGCCCAGCGCAAGTAATCGTCCGTCACATGACCGCGGCAGCGCCTGAAGACGCTCTTCCTGATCCTGCTGGCTTCGAGTTCTTGGCCTGTAGTGGGTTGCATCAGCCAAGATGTTTGTTCCCCACGCTTGGCACGTCTGTGGCTGTGTGTAATGCAGAGAGATGCCGAACACCACTGCGCATCCCAATTGGCTAATATGCCGTCCTGCCGATTTCTTTCATACTGTGCACCTGGTCAGTGCAGCCCGGTCATGCACTGTATTCTTCCTTTCATGCGTGGGTGGACAATCTCGTCAGGCGGTCTTTCATGCGGGATTGAATGCCGTGCCTAGGGGTGGATGACTGGGACGGCACTGCGAGGGCTCTGTTTGCGGCCCTCTTTCCACCCTCAGCGAAAACCAAATCGCAGAACCAGGCGCAAACCGAGAATTACTTTACTGCTGCGCAAGATCCCAATAAGCGTCAGCAACTGAAATTTTCAGTCCGCACTGGCTTACAGCAAGACATGCGCCCTACTCTACTCCCCGTCTGTCACGCACCGAGTTGCAGCCACGGCGAGGCCCGACACTGCTGCTCGCGGTTGGGCGCGCTGACCCGTCTGACTGACAGCGTCGACACAGGACCTCCGGCTGCGGCTTGTCTGTGGCGCCTGGCGCCAGCGCGGCACTCCCCCTTGTCTTGAATGGCCCCTCTCCACGCCCGGGCGGCAGCACCGCAAGGTGCAGATGCCTGCGCTTCCTTTGTGCTCAACGAATGTGTGTGAGATGTGGCAAGCAATATGCCGGAGGTGTGTCGCAGCCCTTGGTAGCCCGTCCACTGACGACCTCCTGCAGGGACGCCGACAGCTGCTGTTGATGCCGTGAATCAGCAAAAGCGTTTGAATGCCACGGCAATTTTCTGAATCAATCAACTGTTTAGGAAGCGTCCCAATACAGGTTAGGGAGGTACCTGTCAGTTCCCTAATCCTGCCGAGAAAGCAGTGCCAAAGATGTGCTCAGTGGAACCCCCAGCGCATTGCACCGATGGTTAGCAGAAACAGCTAGTTCCTGGTTCTCCAAAGAACAAATTTCTCACAGTGTGTTGGGAGAAGCGACTGTTGTAAGACACCAGGTGGAGCAGAAGCACACAGCGATTTGTCATTTCTGTGACGCAAGATTCTTCAGTGTCCTCGGCGTGCGTAGGTCTACAACCCATCGTTCAATTTTCAATGTATTGACCCTCCCAGGCTCATTTCAGCACGTATGGCTGTTGTCGCTTGCGCTCATAATGCGTTGCTGCGAAACCCAGTATTGTGCATTGCGGTTCACACTGTGGCTTGGCCAAGCGAGCATCGTATCAGTTCAACGGTGGTGTCAGGGCGAAGCCCCTGAGGCCTCAAATGAGTTCTTCCCTGGTGCGGCACACCATGTCCAACCTGCAGCAGCCCAGGCCCTGGGTGACTTTGCCACATGTGGGCACAACGAGCGAATACGCTCGTGACGTGCGGGCAGGAGCGTCCCTTGATGGACCCAGGTGATGTTTAATTGAGTCAGAGCCACATCCAATTCCACTGCAGTTTTGGGCCATCCACAGCTGCCATTGCGTTTTGTCAGATTCGTACAAACACTGAACGGTGTTGCAGTTATGCATCAGGTCGGCCAGCCTGTGGTCTGGTTCCTGTCACCGTGTTCTGCCACCTGGCCATCCTTGGGTGTGCAAACATGCGCACATGGAGATGCCCCAATGTTGGCTTTGGTGTCAATTCCTGGCACCTGTTCATGGCAGTCCTGTCTGATGCTTCCAACGAAGCATGCCATATTGTGTGCAAGAGGACAAGACGAGGACTGGAAAATCGAAGGTATGATAACAGACCATTTGCACTTCTTCAAGAACATGAGCCGCTGCGAGCCAAGTGAGAATCTGGCATTTTGTGCTCTGAAAGGACAAGAAAATATAGCGCAGGTGTCTGCCACACGTACTCAACCAGCATCTTGCAGGTCGGCATTCGCACTTGCTGCAGGTGCTGAGACTTATTGTGCTCCACTTGGATGCTTGCCCTCCTAGCCATAGGCTTGTTTATCACTGCGCTACATTGCACTCTTCTACGGTTTACTGGCCTCAACAGGCTCTCGCACTTGCAATTCACGGCTCTCCACCGTTGTGCGCCAGTGCCTGTTCTTTTGACATCCAGGCAATGCTCCAATGAAATTACAACGAAAAGATACCAGTGTTTCGAAGCAGCTGGGACTTCTATTTGTCAAAATTCAAGGACTTATCTTTTAGGAGGGTGAGGAAGAAGCTGAGCTGCTGACTCTAAGATTTCTGAGCAGATACCAAAAGGCCCCATTCTGGCATGCTGCCCCTACCTGTTGGATCCGTCCGCAGATTCTAAACCACCCACCTCAACACTTTCATACCGCTAACACTTTTCCTGAACTGCATCAACTCAGTCCCCCAACCACAGCTACACCCACCTCGCCCGACATCCGCCCCGATTGGCTGACCCTCGATGATGCGAATGCACCCAAATCTGCCCTTCTTGTGGCCAGCGCCTAGTCATCTACCCGACCGCCCAAGTGCAGCTCGCACAGGCCCGCCACCTGGCCTCCGCTGACGCCAGTGTACTTGGCGGGCTTCCGCCCCTTGGCACAGAACATGACAGTCGGCCCTTTGCCGCATTGTCCCAGACAGCCCACAGCGGCGAGCTTCACGCCCGGCGACGCCCCCACCAGGTCCGACGTCCCACGAAGCACAGCCCCGGCGCCCCTCTTCATGCAGTCCTCGCCCTGGCAAACAGATATCCGCCCGACGGCCGCCCCTTCCGCAACCACTCTCGACAGCGGCGCCTCCGCTTTCACGTCAGAGATCGCGGCCTGCCCGGTGGGCTCCCTTCCACCGAAGCACTCCGCTTGCCCGTCGGAGAGTGCGGTCCCCGCGTCTATCGCCTCCGAATCGCTGTCGCTCGACGACTCCGACGAGCTGGAGCTGCTCGACCCGCGCTCTCGCTTCTTTGCTCCCGTGCACTCGGCCTCCGACTCGCCGCTGCTCTCGCCGGAAGAAGAACTACTGCTGCTGCTGCTGCCGTTCTTGCACTTGCCGTCCTCTTTGCGCCCATTCACCGCGACCGGGCTGCCAGGCTCGTTCAGAACAGCCCCACCTTCGTCACATGCACGGCAGTCCCCACCAGAAGTTCCGACAGAACCTTCGGGGACCCCGGACGGCGCAGTGCGGCCCTCCGGGCGGTCGCCCAGGTCCATAACTGCCTCCCACGCATCCAGACTCTGTCCCTCACGCGGGGCGCGGGGGAGCGTCGCCGCCTCGCCTCGCCCCGATCGCTGGCGCACCCCCCTCCACCGTCGCCGGGACCCCCCCGGGCGGCCGCGGCGCGTCGACAGCGGCCGGCCGCCGTAGAACGCGATGTGGAGTGAGTCGGCGTAGACGCTGCGCAGGGATGCCGGCGCACTCGGCGGCTGCGGCGCGCCGCCCGGAGGGCCGGCCGTGGGAGGCATCCCGGCGGGCCTTCTCGCGCCTTCGGCCGCCGAACGCCGCGCTAAGTCAAGGGCTCGCGCTTGCACCGACCTGCTCCACCCACAGGGTCTTGCTCCCGTGTGGGGCTGCGCGTGTGACAACCACGCGCCCCCCTCGCACACACACCCCTGATCGTCCCTCCAGGTTGGCATTTTATAATCAATGCCAATTTCACTTTTTCTGAGTGCATATTTTGAAGCGAGGTTGTGCTCGTCCTGTGCTGGGTGCCAGAAACTGCTCCCGCCATTTCGACGCCAGGGAGGGAGCGCCGCGAGGCGCGGGAGCGCAGCCGTGCGGACAGCCGCGGGCGCGTCGCCGCGATGGACCAGGCGACGATGCGGCGATCGGCAGAGCTGATGACGGCCTTCGGCAGCGATGCGCACTCCAGGGCCGTGGACGAGTGCCTGAAGTCGGCCAGCGGCTTGCTGCAACGCTACCGCACCGTCGAAGAGGGCATCGAGAACAGCTTGAGAGGTGGGAGGGCTCGCCTTTTGCGCTGGATGTGGAGTGAGAGCGGAAGTCGGCGCTATCTGGTTGTGTCTCCAGCCACGCTGGGTTGTGTGCGCAGGACAACGATTTGCTGCCCTTTATAAGTTTCTGCATTCCTTGCTGTGGACCGCTGTGCGCATCACCACGTGCTTGAATCTGCACGCGGAGTTACGCCCGGCATAGCCTTGCAGGTGCAAGGGCTGTGTTTTGTCACTGTTGGACAAAGGCAATCAAGGGATTTTATGCACATGCTCCAATCGCAGTCATAGTAGACTCGTCCACACGTCGCACATACAAGTGAACTCGTGACAAAGGAAAAACTGACAGCTGCACTAGTACTCTCGCTCACAGTCAAGGCATCCATAGTTGTCTTGAGATGACATTATTGACGCCACATCACAAGCCATTGTGAAAATACCTGTGCAAGAAGGGATATGTTAGACCTGCACAGACATCCTACCATCAAATGCACTTGGCATCTGCTTCCACTGCGAATCAACCCTGATTTGATGCATTGCCTACACAAACTTTGTACTTGGCCCACCCTTCCCAATTCAAGGCTGCATGTTTGGAGGACTGTGCAGGGGCACTGAATTCGTACTTCAAATGCGTTCATGCTGCCTTGATCCACTTTGTACACATCAACTACCAAGTTGCCAACCGACAAGGTGCCTCCATTATTGTGTTGCCAAAAGCAATTCTGCAGGGGTGGAGGTCTGTGGCTGGAGGCTGAAGTGATGGCTGATCTTGTGGATCCTTGTTGACAGGGTGCTCTGAGAGGGAGAAGGAGCTGGAAGGCATTCTGTCTGGAACAGCAGAGGCGGAACTCCAAGAGAAAATAAATGATATGGAGCTGGAAAAGGCACAGCGAAAGGAGAACGTCCTACAGCTGAATGCAGAACTCAGATAAGTGTTGCAGCTGGGAGATGGCTTGCGATTCTCTGCATAGATGATGGCATGCCTGCATTTTGCTGATTCATCTGTGGAATGGCAACACAAGAGATCCCGCACTGCTCTTGTAAGTGGCAAAGCTTCGACGTAGCCGTTCAAATTCGCGGTGCTCATTGCGGCCACACGCCATTCCAGTTTTGATCTTTATTCGCTCACAATCCTGGGCTGCCAGCTGCCCAACTCTTCAGGGGAAAGCTCCAACTTTCCTCGTTCTGTGGCTCACAATGGTGCAGGAAACCAGGGAGACGATCAAGGCGAAGCTCAAGGCCATGGAAAACAGGGAAAAGTTGGTGGAAGAAATGAAGGCAAAAGCAGCCAGCCTCAGGTACTGCGTACAAATCCAAACTGAAGGCACATGTGGAAAGCAATGGCAGTGCAGGCAAAAGTTTGCTGCCGATGTAAGATGTCCATCCAGGCTCTTTCCCTCCTTCAATCTGGAAGCTGTTAAGTTAATGGACCCTGTACGAATCGATTTATTGCTGCCCTTCTAATCCCAACTCCCTTCAAACTTCTTGGCTGGGCAAACTGCATTGTTGCAGCCTGCTTCCTGTGAATATCATCAAGGTACCTCTGGAGTGGAATTCAATATGCTTTCAGCAGTGTGGGACACAGCATATTAGCAATGTTTGATGTGTTGCCTCTTCTTGTGCTGTGCCCATATTAATTCTGGGCCCAGATTTGCATGCACCCAGAGACACACGTCACATGGCAGTGTGCTACTCCTTTGCTGCAAGTGTGTGAAAGTGTGCTGCTGACCGATGCCTTTTTCATACATGGCTACACAACTGTTGTCCAATCCAACACCATTTTGTGTTACAGTAGTAAGCCATGCATGGGACAGTCTTTTTTGACAGACTGTATTGTCATGTTTACATGTGCTGTGTGCACCAAAAGAACATCGTCTCATCTCTCCTTTGTGGGTCATGGAGTTTGTTGTCGATCCCATATGGGCAACTGTAGCAAGACATATTGTGGTAGTGCTCAAGTTGGTATCACAACCGATGGCAACATGAAATGGCTCTGTCTTGCCACAGCATTCAATGACACACAAAAAACAGTGGTGACCCATCTATTCCCCCAAAGATGTGTATTGCAACACACCAATATTTCAAGTACAGCATCCCAGACAAGCAGTTAGAAGACTGATGCTGTGGTCTCGCATGACTGCCTTGCCCACAAGCAGTTCATAATTTTGCTGAGATGTGTGTTTGTGTTGCTCACAGAAGCGAGCTTGACATGTACTTGGTCGTTTCATCAATATTCTGGAAGGAAGGAGTGCAATTGAAGGGAGATATTGCTGGAAAATTTGTTGGAAAGAAAGCCCACATCATACCTTTTAGTTTTGAAGTGGACAAAACACATTTTGAGGTGGCTGACGAGCTGTGGTCTATGATGGATGAGTATGATGGCCAAGCTTGATGCTGCAGACCTCTGGTGCACATTTTGACTGTGCTGTGATAGTTGAAGTCGAACTGGGTATGGCATCCAGCAGACTCCTGACTTATGGTAGTTTAGTGTATGCAGCAGTGAAGATTCATAGATTTAGATTCACTTGCAGAGTTCACTGCGTTTTGCAGTCAATGTTTCAGTAATAGAAACCATCAGCCAATGCAACAACGAGCACACCCACCCCGCACATGTGGCTTGAAAGTTCGTCATCAACGATGTTGCTGAGAAATCTCCATTGGGCTCAATTGCCCCGCAGTGATATGTCAGTGGCTTCCATATATTGAAAGATGTGACCAACAGCAGTTTGGGAACAAATGTGCCAGATCATGATAGGTCAGGCAACGATTTCCAGGCTTTTAGACTTTGGGCTACTGGCTGCTAAACAGCTGCACATTGTTTCAAAATACAGTGTAAGCTGTGGTCGGCCGATTGCTGGACTGTGCTCCACACCCGATGGACATCGCAGTTTGGTGTGTGTAAATGGTGCCTCTCCATGCTCTTGAGTGTCTCCATGTGCATTAAGTCTGCTGACCAGTCCACCTATTCCTCTCTATCAGGACGTCAGGGCATCGTACTGGGTGTCACCAATTTCTGAGGAAGTTTATCGTCCTCTGGAAGCTGTCCCTTGAATGCTCGCCTGCCAATCGTGTACCTGTGCATCATCAAAGGTTTTGCATCATGTTTAATGTTTGGCAGGAGGTCAGGTGTTCAGAGAGAGGAGGTTCCACATGTGTCAGTGTTTGTACCCAACGATTCTGGAAGGTGGTTGGGTTCCTCCACATGTGTCAGCGTGTGTGCCAGTATATGGCTGGGTGCAAACTGCACGTTGCATTGCACTGTGTGCTCAGCAGCTGTTCCACTGGCAGTCATTTTGGAAGCTTCAGGCAAACATCCTCTGCTGTGTGCTTCTACATGAACAGCATGCCACTGACACATTCTGCACTCAGCCTACACAACCCACTGCACTGTTTTCCTGCAGAGAACTATCACCAACTGTGCAGGAGATACCTTTTCTGCAATGCACTGTTACACTTATGTCACATGTTGCTACACCTCCCAGCAAGATGTCTCAGAAACCTGACAAAGGGTCGTCAGAATCCTGTTCCATGACAGCAAATAGAGCCTTCACAAGCCCTGTGCTGCTCTTGGGCACCAAGGCAACTGTCGTTCACACATGGTTGCATGATACAGAATATGGTGAAACGCATAGGAGGAAAAAGCATGGGTGCTGTGAGACAGCTTTTGTACTTGGGGAAGACACTGTTTTGAAGTCAATATGTACAGCACTCAATGCACCCGGGAAGGGATGCATCTATTGACTCAAAGAGATTATGGGTTTGCACTGGGACACTCATGGTAGCTGGTATTGTTTGGGTTCTTGTTGGTTTCCTCACTTCAGAACTTTGTACATATTTTAGAATTTGCGTGTGCTTTTGCGCACCCATCATTTTCTGATGCATTGCACTTTGGACTACCTAATGAAGACTAACTCGACATCCCGGTCACCGCTGCCCACTTCATCACTGCTACTGGGTGCCCTTCGAAATCTTGACGACTGGGTATGGGTATGGCGCCTGAACATCATTGTCTTGCAACCTGTGCGTGCAGCTGGCACACATGGGTGCCTGAACCACTCCTAACAATTTTTTTCCTAACATTGTTCTTTTCTTTGCACAATTTTGCCTACATATCCCCCTTTGGACTGCCCAACGAGGTCCCCAGGCAGCTGCATGCAGTACCATGGGTAACTGTACCTCTTAAGTAGTTATTTCATTGAAATTTGATATGAACCATTCAAGGAGGCAAGCCTGCCAGGTTGTGCTGTTGGCCTTCCTGAACATCTTTACACAAACATCTCAGCAGTTTGAGGATGCCTAATAGAGCACGGATATTTGCACAAATACACCTGCTTACACCTCACTCATGGAAGCTAGATTCTGCAACAATACATAATGGAACAGCAAGTGCAAAGGAAGCAATTCTGTGTTGAGGTTCACCGATCCAATGTCACTGTGAAACAGATTGTTGGTCCTCAGTTTGGGGTCTTTGGTCTGACCAGTTCCAGATCCCCACTGGAGTCCCTTCCCCCCTTGGGAAACAGTGCGTCCCGCACAAATTGGGATAAACGTCAAAGCCTGTTCCAACACATGCCTTCCCAGCGAAAGCACCCATGTTTCACATCCACGGCCTTCAGCTGCTGGTGCTGGCTGTTAAGCACTATCTGAAGACTCAACCGCCAGGTTCGGATCCCAGATCTATGCAATGCATTGTTTCTGTCATCAACCGAGTCCATTGAGCGTCATATCAGCTCCGCTGTTCCAGGAGAGCAAACGAAACTTCACAAAATTCCAGGCAATTTTTTCCGCGTCTCGGCTGTTTCTGGAGTCCTTCGCGATGCTTTTTTCTCGCGGCAGGAACCTGTCCCATCACAAGCGACCGTATCGATGTTTGTGCGATACACCAAGTCGAAATGCGGCCCTGTCGCCTGTCATCGAAGCCCTGTCGTCCAAATTTAGGCTGCGAGCCCAGGCCGGGCTCGCCACATGGGGCGGGTCTCCCTTGCTCTGGGCCCCGCAGAGTCACGTGGCCGAATAGAACAGGCGGCCGAGGAGCCACCGCCGTAGGCCAGCGGGCGACGCTCAGGGTGCCGGGCCCAGGCTGGGGCGCAAAGGCGGCGCGATGCAGGGTCTGGAGGTCCGCAAGGAGCTGCTGGAGTTCGGCCTCCTGCCGATCGGCCTGCTCCTACCCGGCCTCGACACGCTGTCGGCGATCATCGACTTGCACTTGGGCCTGCTGGCGTCTGCCCGCCGACTCGATGGGAGAGAAGGTACCGCTGGCGGGGGCCGAGGTCGCCTGTGGGGAAGGGGAAGGGAAGGCCGCGCTGGCCAACTTTGGGGGAAGTGTTGCCATGTCGCGGACAGTCCGCTGTTCTCACCCGAGCGGGTTTTCGCCCAGCTGACGTGCGCCACAGGGATCTTAAACCTGATGGCGCGCCAATTTCGTGGGATCTGTTGATGGGTGGGTGTTATTCAGCATCCAGTGCAGAGGGATCTGCTGGATTGCACCTTGCCCTGTGGCTGCATGCGCCCCCGCGCTGCCACGTCCGTTTCGCAGCCCGCGCAGCCAGTTCTGGGCCGCCATTGTCCAGGGCTGTGAAGGAAACGGATGCGCATGGCAGTGAATTTCTGCAGGGATTCGCGTGTGCTGGCGAGTTGCCGTGACCTGGGGTCTGGGGCTGGGCACAGGGTGTGGATCACAAGCCTCGTGTCTCACGTTCATCCTTGGATGCTTTTTTAGCAGGAGGGGAACTATTGTCAACAGTCCTCGCCTTGAAGTTATTGTTTTGGCGATCGCCACGTGCGTGTGTGCTGCACACACCCACTGCAGGGCAAATTCTGTGGTTACGAGTTTTGCCATCATTGTTGCAGCCTTTTGTGCAGACATTGCCGTGTTGCCTCTTGAGATGTGGTGCAGGAGAATTCCCTGACGGTGCCCACCAGATTGCATCGCCGTGGTGTGTCCACTGCGAATAAATCCAACATTGTTGCATTGTCAACCCCTGGGCCGATTGTGGGGTGACCTGGGCAGGGTGGTGTTGGTGCCACAGCTGTGCGTTTTGCGCAAATCACCTAATTCTTGCTCCCCTCTGTGCAGGAATCGTGGATGTGGGGGCAGTTATGCATATGCTGAGGCTCTCATCCAATCTCTGGCGAGTGCTCTTGGATGCCCTGGAGGCTGTCACAGCTGGGCCTGCGACTTTCCGGCAGAATGACAAGCCGGAGGCGATCGCAGTCGATGTGCACATCTTGTCCTTGTTTCTTGTGGCTCAACTCTACGGGAAGTCTGCACAGAGATGGGACTTGAGCAGTGCTTGGCCCGAGAATATTGGGATGGAAATGCCATCGCCGAGGGGCAGTGGGGTACACCAAGGTGCCGCAACAGTGGGTACCTTCACGATACCAACAAGCCTTGGGGTGTGGGGGCAGGAAAATGACTGATTCTTTTTGTTTTATAAAGCATGAACATACTAGTATGTGTGGTTGTCCATGTGAATTGACAGAAGCCACTCCCACATTTCAACATCTCAACAATGGGAGACTGCACTCGATTCATGCATGGTGGAGTCAGGTTTCCTCCAAGTGTTGCTGGGGTTTATTAGCCTTACTCTGTGGCCTTAGGGCAACATTCCGAGCTTCAACAATTGGACACTGGGCACAGCATGAGAAGAGTCTATTGCTCAGCGCTCTGCATCGACCAATGGCACTACCAACCATCGTTTCTGCTGAACTTAAGCTACATCTACACAGGGTGTCCTAGTGAATCAGAAGCAATTTGCATAGCATTGTTTTGGAAACACCAGTAACATACTGTTGTACATGGGTGTACAATGCTCTTGGACAAATTCCCGCCTCGAAGTATGTGGTACAATTGCATTTTCGGTTCATGGTCTGCTAAACTGCGTCCTGTTGTAGAATGGAGCTCAACACTCGTTTTCAGCTGGGATTGCCAGCTTACAGCCCAGATGTGCGTGAGCTTGTGGTGTTCTGTGTGCATATCCGTGCAGCATTGTTCCCCCAACCACAAGCTCAGGAAAATGCCTCCAAATATCTTATGCATTTGTGTGGCTGGCTTTTAGAGACTGCCAAGCATGACACACATCGCCGCCTCCTCGCCCAGCAGTCCATCCTCAACTTCCCTTCTTTCCTTCGCCGCAACATCTATGCATTGCTGTGCCTAGCAATGGACGAGGCGCCACCTCGTGCATCTCCATTGTGGACTACTGCAGCTCGAACAACCTCAAGCTCGAATCCAAATCCCAGCAAGAAAGGCCAGGAGCCAAAGCTGTGGATGACAGCTGCGGAGGTTGACAGACTTGGCCTGTTCCTGAAGCCAGAGGGCAGTGACATAAACATGAATGGAGCTGGGAACCTTGGGGCAAGAGCTTCTGGAATCAGCGAGTGGAAGAAGCTGAGCTCATGGATTCCTATGTACCGTGGAAAACAACCTGGCCATGTGGTGTCTGGTGAAGAAATCGCGGCGTGGCTCATTGCAAATATCGCGGATGCTCCTGCAGCAGCCGAAGAGCCAGCCGAAAGTGCGGTTCTTATGTTGACCTTGTCTTGAACACTTGGCGAACCAGGTGTTATGAAAATGGATCCCGGGTCTCATAGGCAGACTAGAATTGGCAGACAAGTGTGTGCCTCAGGTGTGGGGTTTGTCCGCTGCAATCTGCCACAGTCATGAGAACGGTAACATGACAGGCAGTTTTCGCAACGTAGATCCATAGCTGTAGACATGCTTGAAACATTCAAGCACTGGCTTGTTGATGCACATGTGGGTTTGCTTGATATGCACAAAAAAATCAAGCCACAGAGTGGCTTTTGTGAGCTGAACATGGCTTGAGAAATGCACTCAAGTTTCCAAGCGTGATTCCTTTGTTCGTTGGAATAGACTATCAGCATGTGGCCTTGTTGTGGGCTTATGGCCTTCAGTCTCGCCTTGCCTCTGTGGAAGACACTGGGTTCCAGCCATCAGCATTGGAAAGGAGTTGCCCTGGGGTCACTGTGGACAAATGAGCACCGTGTTTATTGTTGCAGGTCCCGAAGAGCTCGAGAAATCCGGCCACATCCGTGACCTTGGCAAGGGCACTGTCGTTCGCGGGGAGGATTGCTTCCCTGGCAGGCACCTGCTCATCACAGACTGCAAGGATGCTTGCATATACGCCCTTGCCCCACTGTCTCTGGCCAAGATATCATCATGCACAGATTGTGTCATCGTCGTTGGCGCAGTTGCTGGGGTCCTTCATCTAGAGGACTCTTCCCGCATCCACCTCGTTGCGGCCTGCAGGAGGCTGTACATCTCATCGTGCTACGACTGTGTCCTGCACCTGGGGACAAACCGCCCTCCTGTGTTCTGCGGAGACAACCGGTTCGTGCAGCTAGCACCCTACAACACTGGCTATGAACGACTGCCTCTGCACCTGGAGATCGCAGGGATCTCCAGGCACAACATGTGGGACCAACCGTCGTTTCTGAAGAGCCTGAGGGGATCCATGGATCTGGATCAAGCTATGCACGGTGGCGGCAGCAGCGCCTGGAAGGAGGGGCCTGAGAGGACGGGAGTCGATCAAATCCAAGCGAAGAAGGTGCTGCTGCCCCCTGACAAGCTGAGTCCATTCACGATACCTTTCCGGGGTGGTCCAGGCCCCTTGGCGGGGGGCGCTGCTAGCGGGCCATCCCACGGCTTGCAGGGCCGAGGCTCTGGCGGCGCTGCAGTCAACGCAAGGCAGGTGTCGCTGCCATTTGCGCTGCCGTCGCAGTATGCAGAGGCCATGGTCAAAAAGCTGCGCAAGGTAGCGGAGCTGCAGGGGTCCCTTGGTCAGGTGAGTCTTGTGGATACTGCACGCCACAAACCTGTTATGCTCAAAACAGGCACAAACAATGTTCAGTTAGCAAGGGTGTGCCAGTTGAACCTTGGGTGGGGACGGGGGAAGCGTGGCCTTTGGGCAATAGTACATGCTTTGTTGAGAAAAGTGTTAGTGAAGCCACGCAAAGTGTGGACTGATTGCTTCTGCTCCATTGGTGATGGAAAAACATGTGCTTGAATCCCAGATTTGATGTAGGGGGGTGCCAGGCGGGAACGAATGGGAGTCGCTGCATGGCCGCCGTTGCGGCCCGCAAATTGCTGATGTACACCAGGGAAAATGGTGGCACCCACCAATGTGTTTTGTACCCGCGTGTTGTTGCCCGAGCGTGGTATCATCACCAAGACCCATGGGGGCTGGTTCATGACAAAGGCGCGTTCAAGGGTTCCAAAAGAGCGCTTGTAAGAATATCTGGACCGTTTGCGCATGTGCCACAGGCCATCGTGGACACTTCCAACCGCAGGGCACTACAGGTCGCCATACAAGGATACTTCAAGGATTGGCTTTTCTCAAGCGGCCGAATCCGACAAGTGTATGACCTCGCAAAGTTGGAGCAGCAGGCCCTCGGGGAGCAAACGAACTCGAATTCAAGTTCCAAGTCGAATGCAAAGCCGGGACGCCAGTGAAGGCGCTCTCGTGGTGGGAACGCAGTCGGGTGTGGACCGTGTCGATGGTAACGTCTGATCGTAACTATGTGCGGTGGGATGGGGGTTTGTTCGTCAGAGTACTTGCGCTTGTCAGGGGGTGTGTCTGTGTGGGCCCATGATTGTCCCACAAGGCACCGTGTCTCTGGGAATCTTGTTCGTGACTGGTTGGGGCGCTTGGGGTTGTTTTCACGCCCCTGCTGACGTCAAGAGTTGTGGCACTGTAGTTCTAAGAGTGGGGAGGTGTGTGAGAGGAACATTGGTGTGGGCAGCAGTGTCGCCTCAATGGCTGTCTCTGAAGCGCACTCATCTGAGTGACGCCCGGCAAGGCCGAGACCACCAAGCTTGGCGGTTGCCAGGAAATGGGGGTCATCCAGGGCTTGGGACACTGTAGTTACTGCGTTGAGGCAGCGCCGTTGGAGTTGCGGCGTGGGGAGTGATTCGGTCCGGCACAGGCACGTGCGCACGATGCCCTTATGTGCTGTTCCGAGTGTGAATGTTTACTGCTGACATCATCACACAATCAGCAGCGGAAGCGGACTTCTGCACAACGCCCACGAGCGTGCTGGCTTGGGACATTCCCTTGCATTCGCAGTGGCCCTGCACCGACCAGAGATCATACATACAGCGAGGCTGCAAAGATGATGTCCCGTTTGAGCGTGGCGTCGCTCTCCTGGAATTTCTTTGCGAGGTCCTCGTCCCCAACCACCCTCGCCGCCTCCGCCAACTGCATCATGAGTTCGTCAAGTCGCCTGGTGGCCCGGATGATACTCCCCTCGAATATGTCCGTCATGTCGCAAATTTCAGCGAAACTGGCGCCCTTTGACCACGCATACACGACATCCATCAGGAACGGCTTGAAGCTGCTGATGTACTCCTCCGCCTCTACTTTGAGCTTGCACTCTGTTGAAACCTCTGCGATCATTCGAGCTGTCTCCTGGGCCGACACAGCCACAGAAACCGTCGGCACCCCGAATGTCCAATTTGCACGCCCGCAGTGCCCACTGCATTGCCATGCCGGCAACGATCACATTGCCTTGCCACCCATCCTGCTTGGACACTTGTGGCATTTTAGTGACATTATTCACTGATGATGCCGTCCTCCATATTGCTGAGAGGAAAGGACCCAACCAAGCACTGGCAAGGTGGGTGGCGTCCTCCGTACTGCCAAGCGGAAAGGACCCAAGCAAGTATTGACTGGGTGACTGTTCTTCAATTCTTGATGGCCCATTTTCAGGTCCACCCCTCCCACATTGATTTCAACCAAAACAACGCCTCATTGTTCCGCATTCATTCAATGCCACAACGCGCGTGTACCATAGCCGCTCCACCGCTTGGACAGTTAACCACCTGGACACACCTGTAGCTTGTGGAGAGGACCGCTCAATTCCGTCTTGAGCTTGATTTCTTCCTCAGACTTCTCCGTCGGAATCAGGCAGCTCAGCAGCGCTGCAAGCTGGTGCTTGTCCAGGTCGGACAGCCCCCCATTGAACATGAGTTCAGTGCAGAGCAGCTCATCAGCGGTGTCAATCTCGCATGCAGCCTTGCCCTTCAACTGCACGACCCCTTCAGCGTTGAGGTGGCCAAGCTTCTCCAGGATAGAGACTCGGTGTTTCGCCTCCTCTCGAAAAGAGGACAGCAGAGACTTGTGCATGTCTGCACGCAGCTGGTCTGCCTGGGCCTCGAGCTTGGCCTTGGTCCTAAGGTGCTTCTCAGAGTCCTTGGACTGCATTTCCTGCCGCACTGCACAGTGACAGGCAGCACATGCAGCCGACTTTCAGAAAATAGTCCACCAAGGGGCCACGCAGAGATAAAGAAAAAGAGCACTTCAATGTGCAAATCGCTCTGTTCACGACGAGTGTATGCGCTGCTATGCGCGATAAGCACCTTGACTTTGTTGGCGTATGACCGGGTGCCCAAAACGAACCACCCCCCAATGTTTTGATATGCGCCATCCTCAAGCAAGTATTACCTTAAGGTACTCAGGACGATATAGATAGTCGCTAGGATTCACTGTGACGACTCTTGCTTGGCCGACACGAAAAGTCTACAGCAATTCCAGATACGTGCATCATATCGCCCATCCTGCCAACCTCACCTGGATTCTTCAAGAGCTTTGTCTCCAGCTCCTGTATCTCTTTTACAGCTGCCAGCATCTCAGGGTCGGTGATTCCCATATCCGTGATAGGGTCCAGGAGTGGGAGGCCATCTTGGAAGCGAGCGTGAATCGAACGGAGGCTCTGCAGGACGCCCAGACGGGCATCGACAGGGCAGAGATCTTCCGGCAGTGGCAGAACAAGGCTGCTTATCGCCTCAACTGCTTCCAGTGGCACGGGAACAACGTTGAGCTCGCAATTGGGCGAATCTGCAGCACGGGGACGGCACCACAATCTTGGCAGGCGGAAAACGAGAGAACAGGGCGACTGGGGCCAAAGCATGCATAGCAACAAAGTAGGAACATCCTCCCAGGTTATCCACTGTTCACATGGACAGTCCCCTGATTCCGCATTGGCAGACATGGCTTATGGAAGACACACATATACACATGGGGTGCAGATATCAAGATTTCCAGGCACAAGTGAGTGTACAGCCACCATGTGCAGGTTTCCTAGTGACATCGAAGCTACACATTCAGCGAAGCCCAGAACAGGTGAGTTCGGCTAGCCTTGGATTGCCATACAGGACGACATCATGCTGCACAACCAGGAGATACAGCACCATAGCCAACAGACACGCATCACACCCAAGGCCCCGTGGAAGATGGTTCACACCATGGCCTACAGATTCCGCTTGTGCTGTGCCGCGATTCTCATCTTTTTTGCAGCACAGCAATGTGTCCAGCATGTAGCTGTCCTTCTTGAAACCCTTGCCTTCCTCTCTGACCACAGAAACGCACATGCCCCACCCCCATTTGGCAACGTTGACCAGTCTCCCTGGCTGCAAAACATGCAATATTCTTATGGGCACGAGAACTGTCCTCTTCCGCACTAACTTCTGCAGCTTGCGAATTGCCTTTGACACTCTGTTGTACTCCAAGACAGAGTCTGTGCTCATGCTACCCAAGGCATCTTTTGCCTGCTGCTCCAGCTGCTTAAGCTCCTGCTCCATCTGCATGCCACAGTGCACATCTTATAGAAGGCCAATGTCCATTCAAAGACACTAAATAAAGAGTGCACATCTCCAGACAGGATGTCATGCATTCCGTTGGTGATGCATCACACAGCGATGCTGGCCAAGCATGAGACCCTGCAGGCAGATTCAGTTTCCTTTGTATACTTGTCCTTATATGTCACTAATCTTATGTGCCTTCCAAACTGACCAGCACACAGTGACCTTGCTCTACACAGAGGGTACAAACATTGTTAAGTGTCCACAGTGTAGGGCTTCACACCCACATCATGTATGCCCCTCCTCTGTCATTGACGACCCATTGGGGACCTGCTCATACAACATAAAGGAACAAAGCAAAGCGAACGAGAACTCCAACATCAGCCACAAATTCTTACACAGGAGCATACCTCTGCAAACTCCCTGGCAATGTCAAGCCATAATCATGCACAGCCATCCAAGGCAAGTGCAAGCGAGTGGCAACATTTCACTTGCGCAAATATTAGGAGGTTTACCACAATGCCTGTGTGGCAATAGGCACTGCAACCTTGGACAGTGCAGGAAGGCACTGGAAGTGCAAGGCAACAGTGACATAGCATGGGTGATCGCCATGAACCTCTGCAGACTGAAGCACATGTCTGTGCCAGGTATTTGCTATTTCTGTCAATGCTTCAAACTAAGCGAGCGGGATCAACAAACCTTGGGAACGTTTCGGTCATGCTGGTACTGCTGAAATGACAGCTTTATTACATCATCCATTGACTGCTGTGTCCCCTCCACACGGCGCATCAGGTTCAAGAGGGTGTAGTAGCTCAGCCTGAATGAACTCTTCAAGGGAGCAGGCTCTCCAAGGAGCATGGACCTGCGGGATGCAATCAAACTGTACGAAATGAGCCTGGGAGACGTGCTTCTGCGCCGAGACGAGGGGGACCGCCACAGCCCCTGCCATGCGTTGCTTGCTGCAACACAATTACACAACAGCCACATCGACACCACTGAGATGATCCTCGAGTTCCCCACGCAATGTAGAAGGGGTGTGTCTTGCCATTTTGGCAAATGCAGTCAAAGTATAAATTTCACTGAGCCTGTCCCACAATATTGCCATCCTAATGGGATTTGAACTGGCCACAGGCCGGTGCTGGGGCCAGTGCCCCTGCCCAGGCCCAGTGTTTCAAATGCCCACCTGCATGTCTCTTCATCAAGCTGCTCATCAATCATGAGAATTACGTATCCACGGTCATCGATGCCTCTTCGGCCTGCCCGCCCACTCATCTGAATGTATTCACCAGACTTGATGTACCTGCAATGCGCACACAACACGAGGGATAAGGGCACACGCACAAACTTAGCAAGTGGCTTTGGAACACAGAAGGTTGCAAAATTGTGAATGCAATCAGACGCCAACTACATGCTGTGTGCACAGCAACAGGTACATAACCCCATAAGCCTGTGCAGCGTGCTGTACGCTCGCTGCAGCTTCCAGAGACAATGTCTGGCAATTGCACTCCCAGAGACCACCCTAGTGGCAAAAGATTCAATCAAGAAGCTGGTCATAGCGCAGGTGACCTGCTGCAGCTGCCAAGGCCCACAGTCCCCTCCCTATCCCAATCCCAGCAAGCAGGTGCCCACATCGCACCGTTCTTCTTTGCCATCAAACTTCCGGAGTGATGAGAATATTACAGCCCTTGCAGGCATGTTCACGCCCATTGCAAATGTCTCCGTGGCACACAGCACCTTCACTAGGTGCTCTTGGAACAGAATCTCTGTTATCTCCTTCAGGATGGGCAGCAGCCCAGCATGGTGGACACCAACACCCTTCTCCAATATTGGTAACAAGTGTTGCACTGCTGGCAGATCCCTATCGTTCTCGCTCAGGCAGGACAGGGCGTTTGTGCACACCTGTAGATATCGCCGCAGCACCACAGTGAGATGCGGGATTGTATAACTCAAGCTGCTCGTCAGTGCCCAAGGTGTACAATGCCACAAATATGATATGGCAACAGAACAGCCAACTGTCCACTAGTTCGACTACTGGATAGTCACAAGCAAAATGGTGAAGCAGTGTATTGTATCAAAGCTGGACATCGCCTGCACAATTGGGCCTGCAGCACATTGCCAGCATCGAGCAGCAGATGAAAGCAAGATAACACAGCAGCATAGCTGCCAAAGGCAATAAGACAAAGTCAGTAGGACAGGAACTGCCTACTGCACAATTCAGGAACACAAAGAGTACAGTACCTCGCGTATTTTGGCACTCTCCTCCTCCGTATTAAAGTTGGTGTTGGCTATCTCCATTGCATTCAATTCTGTCTCTCTTTTGCTAAAACTGAACACTATCGCAGGGATGAAATCTTTGTCTTTGAGCAGCTTCATGATTCTTGTTATCTCCTGCACATTCTTCATTTTGGTGTCCATCAACTCTTGTTTGCTGATGCGTCTGCTCCCTCTGTCCCTACCACATCGACCATCCCCTGACCAGAAACCCAAGCAAATGCATAAATACCACCATAATCAACATTAACACCATTGCCAACACAATTTGAGCAGATAGACACCAAGGGCAATGAGAAGTCAGGCAGACAGAAGGGATGTGGGGATGTTTCTTGAGACTTGCTTGAAAATGTGCTGAGAAACACGAGTCTTGGCCTGGCTACTGTTCAGCATATTCTTGCACCATGTGGGGGTCCCTGCACTGAGATATTTCATGGCCAAGACTGCACAAATGGGATGACATACAGCAGCCTGCCAAATTCACAGCTGCGTAAATATCAAGACGCTGTTTCCACTGCTGCCTCCGCAATATCAAAAGCAATATTGAAGTACATGGCCATGGTACAGCCCTCAGCCAGTACTGTCAGAATATCCCCAATCATAAACAAGTGCCTGTTGCACTTGGGACTACATACTCTGCTCTAGCAGAACACTGGGGGAGGTTTGTGACTCCTAGCCACATGCCTGGCATTGCAGCATTTTACACTTCTTGTGAGACAAGGATTACCCGACTTGGCAAGGCAACTGCCATATTGCACATGCATTTAGACATCGGTCGTTGAGCTGATGGATCGAAGCAGATTTCTAGAATTCTCCAGGTTTCTAGAATTCCACAGACTCAGACAAACTATATGGACCATCGATGGCTGCATTGACCGCCTTTTGTCCGTGAAGCAGACAGCCCATGTGCACAGTTCGTGGACGTCACCAAGCAGGATTACCACAAGCAGGACAATCAAAAGGGCATTCCTGCTCATCCAAGCCTTCTGCAATTCTACAAGTCCCCAAGTTATGTTGGCAGCAGCTTTGTGCACTTTCTCACCACTTCGCTGCCCATCCCCACCGATCTTTTTCCCAATGTTTTCAAAAGAGTCCCTCAGGTTTCTGAAGTTGGTCCCCCTGAAGATGCCATCTTCACCCTTCAACTGGAAAATCGGACAAAGAAGAGGCACATCAATGCGTGTGTGTGGCATAAGCCCTTGTTTGCAGGCTGTGAAGCTCCTGCATCTGTCTCACCCAAGCCCCTATCTCAGTCATTAAACTGAAACAACAAACCAAAGAATAATAGCGGCACTTGCATCCTTAAACAAGACAGCAATTCACAGACTGTTCACATTCTCACACTGTAGCTCGCTTTTGTAAAGCGCTGTTCATGAGGCAAACAGTACCCAACTGCTAAGTTACAACAACTGAGTGCTTTTCATACAGATTCAAAGTACTAAGTGTCAGAAGCATTGATGCCCAAAGGCCAAAGTGGCAGAAGATGAAACTGGGCTGCTCTTCAACTTCCACTGTATGAGGGTGTTACAATCCAAGTTCTGCTCCACCAAGTTGTGGAATTTGGGGCCTGTCCTATGCTGGCATGCGTGGAGATTGTTGCAAGCCAACATGCAGTCCAAAGCCACACAAGGTGCTTGCTCATTTTGCAAGAAAATTCCAAAGCTGTCTGCTGCCAAAGTCCACAAAGAAATCCTGACAAGGAAATCCCTGCACGAAGACTTCAACTGCAACTGATCTTGGCATCTTTTGGGTTCTCCAAATGCATTCAACAGCAAGTGGAGGCCTTGAGGAATGCCACACTACCCTCAGATACAAACACGGAAGAGAAACCAAACACACCAAATACATGTCCAAATGGAGATGGCACCTGAGCGGCATAATCATCTTCACATTGACAGTGGGAACAGCTCTGAGTGGATTGGCTGTACTGGCTTACCAGCATACAGCAAGTGCACTGTTCTTGCCATGAACATGAATTTTGCTGCATGGATGTACTGACACAAACATGGATGTGTCCATACCACCTGCAAGCTTGTAGCACATGGTGGTTCAACAACATGAGTGCGCAGAGATTTGTTTCACGCCACTGCAGCCTTGCAGAGTGTGAAGCAAGCTGCATTGCATACACCGCAAGGGGGCCCGTTTCGGCCCTCATTTTGCATCCGTATGTGCCCAATCTTACCCCAATGCTCTCAGGCATTATTGGACTACTGTGCATAATTGTTACCGATTCCTCATACACTGTATCACACACACTTGGCCACTGGGGTGTGGTGCATCCCAAACTACCGCATCTTGACAGCACTGTGGATCGCTTTCATGTCGCGCACAGGGAGGCAATAGAAGGACATCATCCAAGGAGCTCAAGACACTGCCAGCGTCCTTACATTGTATAACCCAGTGCCCCCAAGCGGAAATCCATAATGTCTCAATGGCGTTGGTCTAAAGTCTGTGTTGACCACGTGGCAGGGCTGCTTGTGCAAATGAGCAACCCAGCCTGCAAACTCGCCAGCATTGGACAGTGTGGCCGACAAGAATACCTGCACAACAAAAAGCGAGCACAGCCATGACTGCATGCTCTGGAGTGATGACGTTCTCACAATTTCGTGGAGATTCGCAGGTGCCCCAACGCGCCCCCCCCCACCCACCCACCCACCACCACCCCTACCCACCCCACCCCCAGCCCAAAGTCTTATGTTATTTGAACATAAGGCACAGGTTGACAGATGCAGGATACAATTCTGGAAGTCAGCTGCTGGCGGCCCACACAATACACATCTCACACAGCAAGGAGCAGGTAAAGTCAGGCGCAGAGCAACTTGGGACAAAAGACTCCAGTATAGGAGGGCAATCTTGTGTAATATGCTTTTCAATAGCCAATGGCATCACAGCAAGCACATCAGCACCCAAGGCTTGTCGAATTATTTCCCTGAAGTGTTGTTCTGGTACACATATGGGCCAAGAAACAAGGTCACAAGAAGCACATGCAGCACTGTTTCCCCTACCATTTTTACTTCCTTGGGCAGCACAATGATTGTTTCCTCCCACACAACGCCCCTCTCCTTGTCCTGCATGTAATGGACTTCGTCAAACACCACCCAAGCCACTTCTCGCAACAGCAAAGACCCCCTGGAAGACCATGCACAATTAGTGGTTCACAACTTGTGCCCGAATTCAAGGATGGAAATGGATGCTTGGACATCCTTGGAGATCAACTAGCACAGGACGGAGACCGAACACTATCTGGCATTGATTCTGCCTGCAATCTGACAAAAAAGAACAAAGGCATAGACACAGCAGAAAGGGCAGAAACCAACGTAGGGCACACCCAGGGTCACATGAAATGAGAGCATGTCAATATGTTGCCAGCATTGTAGTCATTCGAAATTGCAGATACGCCATTCATCTGCCCACACTGCTGTATTCTTGTATGCTTGCAACACTGCCTGTCCTGCTGCGATCATCAATTCTGCTCCCCCACCTATAGAGCATGCTGCGAAGGATCTCTGTAGTCATGACAATGCAGTTTGCATTGGGATTGATGGTGACATCGCCTGTCATCAGCCCTACAGCATCAGCCTCACCATGCGAAGAGAAAGCTTCACCCATTTCCCTGAACTTCTGATTGCTCAAAGCCTGCATGCACAACAAGCCACATGATTCTATGCTGGTGGACAGGGAACAGCTTGTGCTGGTGAGAAGCTTCACTCATACTTTGTCCGCATGTACTCTGCTGCACATTCAAATCAAGACACCAGACAAAACGGCACTGAAGGATGCGAATCACTGAGGGATTCACACGTCGGTAGAAAGCGCAAGCCACAACACTGACCTCATGTTGCACACCATGGACAAGAGTGTCATAGTGTGACCTCATGTGACCAAGCCCATTGTATGACATACTTCTGTTCTTGTTACTAAGAATCTTGAACATTCAACACCATCAGGCACCTAAGCAGATTTGGAAAACAGAATGTCGGACTGCATGCACAGAATCAAAGGAAATCGCAAGCGGTGGAATGCCACAACGTTATCAGAAACAGCTCTGGACAAGAGCCACATAGTGGGAGAGTGGCCCATGTGTGCCTGGACAGATATCTCTCAGTGATGAGAACAAGCAACAGGGATGCCCACTACCACATCCTACAAATTCAGAGGGTACCAAGTGGCAGCACCTTAATTGGTGAGGTGTAAATGACTTTCTGGTTGTCACGAAAGGCCATGGCAATAGCATACCTGCCATTGCACACATGGAGGGCTTCACATGAGCAATTACCATCTTCCACAAAGCAAAAGGAGGATGGGCAAGTTGATGTATGCATTGCTGCCAATTTGCAACGAGGAACCACAAGAGACCACGTCAATGTGCAACCTGCTCCTGTCCACTGGAAGAATGCAATGTGACACACAGCAACAGAGGATGGCTGCTGGAATAGGTGCGGCTCCGACGACTTGCCCATGTCGTTGGTGTCCAAAACCAATTCAACGAAATAAAGGGAGACAACTTTATGTGTGGGCAGCCGGATGCAACAATGCACAAGAGGATGGCACATTGTACACAATTCACTAATATCCAGCTCCTCACTTTCAAGCTGTACTTTCATTTCATCAGATGGTGAAATTCGGCCAGCCTTTGGACAATGCTGCCGCAAGCAAGCTGTGAGCTGCAGTGGAGCATTGATCTCTATACTTAAAGCCAATTCATATGATTATTGCAACGGCCCTGCTTAACATCAACAGTACACAAACCAAAACAGTCTCCAGTTTACTCAGAAAAATTAATATACTACGTTCTTTATGTAGGCGCCCATGAGCAGCAAATTTGCCCTCCCACTGTCCTCCAGACACACCACACATCGTGTATGGACAAGTACGCGGCTTCGCAAGGTTGCGCTTACTCAGCCACCACTGTCTTGCCAGCAGATGTGTGAGCTGACACCAACACAGACTCGCGTCGCTCCTGCAAATCACCAGAAGATGTGCCAACATTCAGTCCCAGCCCCACCCACACAATTTTCCACTGCCCCACCAGCTATTGTCTCACTATGGAAGTAAATGGCAACCGGGCCTTCCTCCACAGCAAGGAAATCGACGCAATGCGCAGAATGAATCGAGCATTGCACTTGAATAGAACACATGGTACGTTGTTTGGTGGGTACAAGGCACCCACCAAACACAAAGAAACACCAATCAGGTTTGTCAAGACTGCAGGAGACACCCCAAGCAATAGCTGTCACCCACAACAGTGGAGCCAGCAGCACATTGCCGGAAACCAAAGCAAGACCAGAACTTTCTCATGATCCTCAGTCTCTCAAAGAGGAAGTGAACTGCAACAGTCCTCCAAGTACATTTCAGCAAGGCACAACCACAACTCAGTGCTGCCCTTCCTGCTGTTTCGAGCTCTGAAAGCATTTCAGGCTATTTGGAAAAGCGCGCCTACCAGGCAGGACAAGGCTGTGGCTTGAAAGGGGTCCAAAACGAAAGGAAATTCTCTTGCAGGCTTTCCTGCGTACTTTGGGTCTTGAAGGCTTCCTGCAACAGTCCAGATTGCCGTTCAGGCCACCCTCCAGGCAACTTGAAGGATTCCCTAAGCGCATCTCGATCCGTAACTGCATCCCCGAAGTTTTGCTCACAAAGGCGGTGATCAATCCACATGGAACGCCAATACCTTATGCTTTAGCACCGCAGTGAACATGTGACCATTGCCGCAGCTGCCAAACGGCAACGAAATTCGTGACTTAAAACACCGCACACGGACATTTCAAGACCAATCTAGCATTGCGGCAGGAGCGAATTCAACTGGGCAGGCGAACGCAGGTTGGGGATCCGTACCATATGTTTCCCTATCCCGTTTGTGCGCCTCTTCATCGAACTCATCAGGCAAGGCAACGAAATGTGTGCAGGAAGACTCCACCGACAGCCCCGACGCCTTCCTCTTGGCCGCCTTCCTCGGCGGCCCCTCGTGCTCCTCGCCCGCCGGTTTGCGCTTCGGCGCGGCTGGTGGAGCGTCCGTGTCCCCCATTGACAAAAGTGGGAACTGAATTCAGCATTGTCAGTAGTTATTCATGGGGTGTCTTTTTGGATAGAGGCAGCTGATGTGGCAACCCACGTTGCTGGCAACCGCCCAGCGGGCAACTGGTCGAACTTTGGCGCGAGCGCCGGGGGAAGAGGCCACGCCCACGGTCGCCATCGCCAGCCTTTTCGAACGGGCCCAGACCACCCGGGTGGAGACACGGTGGCCGAGAACATGGCGGGCTTCAACCACAGCCATGAAGAGGTGGGAAACAGGAGAACCGTCGCACCGCGAGCGCCATTCTCGCCGCACCGCTTGAGTGTATCTTTTGGATGGTGGTGTGAGCTGCGTCTTGGCGGTGTTTTTTGCTCAGGTGGCCTTCGACTCTCAGCGCAATGTGGACCTTCGCATCCTGCCCCTGGGAAGGTTGATGCCTCACAGCCAGAAGTTCATGAACGACACTCTCCAAAATAAGGTTTGTTGGTGGGATGGCGGTGGGGTGCCGCAGCTGTGGTCGGGGTCCTGTGGTTATTTGATGCAGAAGGCCACATCGGCTGTCAACATAGCATCCTTAGTGTTGTAGTTGTGTCCCGCCGTCTGTGCTGCGCACCCACTTGCACTGCCTTGGCCAGCACGGACTGCCTCTGACTGCAACACACATTCCTTGGTCGGCTCTGCGGAAAAAGGCTTGTGAATAAAGAGCGTGGGGCCGCCGTCCAGACCCGGTCCTACTGTCCATTGTCCAGCAACACAATACCTTTTGGTTGGATTGCTTGGCAGACAATCTCAAAGCACGTTTCCCTTATACGCATTTGGTGATCACTGCCCTGTGGCATCCTCACAGTCAACCACAGATGGTCCCGATGCGCACTATTCCTGTCGATGACAGCTGTGCAGTGCATGGGGAGAGCTCCATTTCCATGTCGAAGTTTGTTGCACTTGTTGGGCACAATACCATTGATGCCCATTGGGTAAGCCTCCAGAAAACACCGATAGGAATTCCCAAGATTTTCTTGGGCAATGGGTCATGTGGCAATCAGGAGCTGTACAAAGGAGTAAAAGATGAGAAATATCTCTTGGTCACAGGTGAACATGATGGAAGGGCGTATTGTAGGCTTCATTGATCGCCTTCGCAAAACAACAGGTGTGGAAGCCACAGAAAATGTTGCCATCCCAGTGCAGGTGAGCCTCTCCCATGTACCAGTTCCTTTGTGGATTGTGGACTATTGAACTTAGTCTTGGCCTTGGATGGGCCTTGCAGTGGGATGTGGTAACATCCATGAATTGGTTGTGCGTTGGATAGCGAATTGGCAGTATTGCGTTGATAAAGCATGTCACAAGATCAAACAAACCTTAACATTGATGTACGTGGACAGATAGCTGCAGTGCTGGATCTGTTCAACCCTTTGCACACAAAGTCAGTTGTGGAGGGGACAACCTGTCAGTGCTCAGGACACCTGGGCACCTAGCAGAATTTGATCAGATGATGGCTAGTATCTGTTCCTACATGCTACATGGTTCTACATCCAATAATCACATCTGCACAGCTGTAGAACGCTCAAAGTTTACGTTCTTTTGCAAGGAATTGGCTGCGCACAAAGTTCACCCTTGGCCACTGTTGTGTCCATGTGCTGAAAATGTGCGAGACAAGGATAAATGTATCTACTGTTCCTTTGTGACTGTGAGCATTGTTTGAATGTATACCCTGCTGCCCACATGCACACTGCAATCTGCCTTGGTCTTTGACAACACCAGCTTGTTGGCCAGGGCACTCTGGCTTGCCTTCTTCACACAGGGCTTGAACTCTTACCAGGAAACAAACATTTCTAGGGTAAGAGTTGGCATTGTGTGCTGAAGGAAAACCCCAATAATGCCTGCGAGCAGGTGCAACAAGAGCCATATTGCACTAAGATTCGCAAAACAAAAGCATGAACAGTACCGATGACTTGTTACCAAGGTAAACATCGTCCTCTAAGGTGTTTTGCTTACACTGTGCAGGAGCCCACGTGGGTTGCTGGGCAGATCTGTTGTGACAGTGACGAGGGCCGCCTAAACCCAACTTCCATCGAGTTGATGGGCTCCCTGCTGTACTCTGAAGGATCAGTTGCCAAGCTTGACGTCTCTCGCCTGCAGAACTATCGATTGTACCCTGGCCAAGTAAGTAACTCCCAGCACTGTCAGCACTTTGAGTCCTCAGCGGAACTAGCAAGCCTGAAATCACACAGCGATTGCCACACATTGGTGCTCCCAAAATGCTTATACAGCAGAATCACAACCTGTAGACCTGTCCGACTCCGTTGTTTTGTGATCAGCGGTCTGCACTTGCTACATGCATCTGGCTGCTTGATTCTGTTGTCTTGTGGACAGCACGAAGAAATATGATATGGCCTGCCCAGCCTTTCTCAACCATGGTGATCTTCAGTCTCGTTTGTTGGACCATTTATCCCAAGCATTATCATCAAGGGCCATCTTTGAATGGTGGCAATAGTGTCAGGCATGTTCCTTTGGTGCAATGGGGCTGACAATTGGCTGTTGCTTGTAGGTCGTTGCTGTTCAAGGGGTCAATCCAACTGGAGAGACGTTTGTAGCAATGGACCTGATCACCAAATGCCCCAAGCCCATGCATTCAACGGCAAGTCAGCAGCTTCAGCTGTCAGTCCCGACGCCTGCAAAGTTTCGGCTGCTGGTCGCCTCAGGGCCCTTCACAACAATGGGCGACCTTAGGTATGGTCCTCTGAAGAAGTTAGGGGAGCTGTGCAGACAAGAAAAGTTCGATGCTGCCTTGCTGATTGGGCCATTTGTGGATGTCGATCACCCAATGCTCTCTAAGGGATCCATAGACATCAGCTTCGAGGAGCTTTTCCAAAGTGAGGTGGGTACCCAACACTCAAAGGTCCAAAATGCAGTCAACGTCCTTCAACCTCCCATGCTGGGCTTCTGAATTGCAGGCACTCTTGCTCGCTCTGTTTTTTAGAACATGTTTTGGGGAGAATGCTGTAACAGTGTCTTTCAATGGTAAAAATCTGGGTGGCATCCAGCTACGATCAAGTGTGAGATCCCTCTGCAAAGTGAAGCCACTGCATGTAGCTGAAGAATGTACGGAAGATTGCGTTTATGGCACTTCCACTTGGACAGCATTTGCTGATTGGACAAAACACTGACCACACACCTTAACAAAGGTGATACAGGGCAATAAACCGAATAATATCTGTTGTCCACAGCATCAACTATCCGAATTGTGCAGAGCGAGAACCATTTGCTGCTGTTAGTCGCTGCTTTGGATGCCTGTTTGCACCCCTGCTTGCCTTCAAACATCTCTTGTCTGTTTCGTTGATTTCTTCAGTCCATTCCTCGTTTCCATTGGCTTACCCAACATTATTCATACTAGTGCTGGGATTCTGTCTTCGCCTGTGCAATGAAGTGATTGTCAGCTTTCCATTGATGCAGGTGGTTCCAATCTTAGAAGACATGAAATCTGCAGGGACGGCCGTGTTGACAATGCCCAGTACTCGTGATGCGCATCACTTTCCAGTTTATCCAACCCCCCCGTTCCAGCTGAAAGGCCCTCTGCATTGCCAGCTCTCCAGCCCTTGCTGCTTTGCTGTTGGGGATGTGGCAGTGGCTGCCTGCAGTCAAGATATCGTCAAGCATATCAGCATGGCTGCTACTGAACACTGCCCAAATGGCTTGGAAAGGATGAGGGCATTGTGGGAATTGGTTATTGGACAAGCCAGGTGCGGCTCGCCACACTCTACCCCTTGATCTCCACATGCATTTCGCTATTCGTCACGCTCTCCAACGCACCTTGCAGATCATTGCAGCTGTTCATTTTCCAGCCATGGCTTGCTCATCGCAGACTGCTCCTTACATTGACTGGCAGACTGCAAATGGTACAACAAGCCAGACTTGTTTGTCCGCATGCACACGAACAGTCCCATACTATATCAAATGGATGACACTGCTTCAACAGCTTGACTGTTGTGTAGCTGGAATTACTCAGATCGAGAAGCAGTCCATTTGATGGCATGTGCCAGAATGAGACAAGCACTTCCCTCGATCTGCAAGGCGATGGCGGCCGTAAACAGGTTTCTGTTCAAGATGCTGATTCTGGCCCTGTGTGTGTCTTGCAATAGTTTCTGCCCAGTGCTTCCTCCTCCGCTTGGGTCCTTCATGGATTCATCCCTCTGCTCCTACCTCGAGTTTCCATGCACACCAAACATCCTGGTCCTGCCGTCGGATCTCTGCGCTTTTGGGAAAGCAGTTCATGTGGAGATGGGTGCCAGGGAAAGTGTCAGTGAAAACCAACCAGATTCTTGTGTAGATAGTGGAGTTGATGTGGTGTGTTTGAATCCAGGACGGGCTGCAAAGGGCCGCCAGGGTGGGACTTATGCAGTGCTGTCATTTCCAATCCGCACCAGGGAACTCAAAGATTTCGCTTCCACTCTGGTAGGGGCATGTCAAGTAAATGTGAAGAGAATTTGACTTTGACTACAGAAATCAACAGTGAACAAGCTGCAGGATACCCTTCAAGTTGTGACCGATCACATCTGTACATTACCGTCAATGGCTTATGTGCAAATAGTTGTTGGTTACTCTCAGTTGTTGACATGCTGTGCACAAAGACAGCAGGAATCCTGATGTATCTCAAGACAGAGCTTGCAGTTGAACCAGAGGCAGTGTCACCTGCCAACACGTGCTGAACTGGTTTAGAATGACCACAACATTCAGATGGACCGGAGCACTAGGAAACCATCAACAAGCTCATCCACATTTGAAATTTAGCAATACACATTGCTGGTCATCCAAAATGGGTGTCAATCTCACACCTCCAGGAGGGGTTTGGCTGCCACCTTATTGGTCAGTCAAGTGGCCAGAATGGCTGCCAGTGACCTGCCATGCTAACCTCTCACTGGTGTAGATACTCCTGCTTCGTTGCCCTCACAGCTCTGTGGAGGTTGTTCAATCAGAAAGCTCCATTGCCTCATCATTTCCCTCAGTACGAGAATCCTGGTATTCTTGCTGGCATCATAACTATGCCTCCCTGGAAAAGTTTCTTGGCTTTGACCCATTGTCCATTGCTGACAGTCAGATCCATCAACTGACAACTCATGCATACAAGAGCCCATCCTTTCCCCGACTGTGCGCCCCATACGGAGGCTTTTCATTTCCCTTGAAAACCACACTGACCTCAACCTCCCAGTTGCAAACGACCCTGGGACCAGGCAGATAAGCACAACTTGCGCTTGGGGCATATGCTATGTTTCTGGACACGTTCTGGTGGAAGTGTACTGCGGGGCTGCTCAGGTCAGAACCCGTTGTGCGTTTGGGAAGGGAATCGTTGTCCCTGGTATGGAAGAGCGACAGAGGTGACACACAGGCAGGTTGGCTTGGCTGACTAAAGCAGGGAATCCGCCTTCGAGGAAAGGCCACCTTCCAGGCAAGTGTGCGACTGTTGCAGCCATTCACCATCGCAAGGAGCAACAGATCTTCCAGCACCTGACTCCAATGCCAAAAGATTTGTAGTCCAGCGGTTTTGGTGCAACTGGTGTGACCCGCCGTTGGCGGGCCAGCCATCGGGATGTTTCCGGCCACGTGGGATGTCAGCAACAGGAACATCGGGAGTCATCAGCCTCCCGCGGACTCGCCCACTGGATGACTGAGCTCACGGCACTCCAGCCTCTCCCGAGTAGAACAGAGAGAGCGAGGGAGCTGTGGGGGCGGCAGGCCGGGGCGGGAGGTCCGCACCGTGGGTGCACAGGACCAGGGGGCTGAAAGCGCGGGAGATCCCCCGGCGGGGCGCGTCGCTCCCCACCCACCCCGCACCCCCAGCGGGGCGCTGGTCCCGACGACGGACTGGGCCCGTGCTGGTGCGCGGCTTGGCCAGGGTTCCACAGGGGGGGAGGCTGTAGCCCTTGGAATGCGACGTGGCTTCGATGAAGAAGGTGAAAAGCCGCTCATGGACGGGTCTGGGAGGATGGCTATTGGCGGTGTGGGTGCAGTGCGTGGGGCTGCCCCCAGAGGCCGCCGCTGCCGTCGCAGCGGCGATGACCTTTGCCTCTGCATTGTGGCTGTTCTGTGACCGGATACTGGGATGGCGAGGGACGCTGGCGGGCTGGCTAGTCCTTGAGGCAGGATTTCTGCTCGTCAACGGGTGGAGGTGAGTGGTGCGGGGAGTATTGTACGAGGCAGGTGCGCTGCCAGCACAGCATTGAGGTCTTCTGTTCCGTGCCTCCAATGCGGTTTTAGGGACGCCCATCAGAGCAATTACAAGTCAAGTGGGGATGATGGAAGCAAGAAGTCTTGTAGGATAGGAGGCCGACTGTGCTCCCTCTAAGCAGCCACAGTCTGTGCCGCCGCCACCAAACCGCGACTCAAGGAGAATTGTCCGCGCTGCGCTGTCTGCGGGTACTCTTGTCTTTCCATTGGGTTTGCGGCTCGATGCCTCCCGCGTTCTCTTATATGGGCCCAGCCCCAGCCTGTGGTGCCTTGTCGCGGCATTGTGGGGCTTTTGCTGCTTGCCATCACACTTGGCACAATTTGAATGCATAACTCCTACAACTGCCGACAATTTTCTTGCAAACTCCCAGTGCCGTGCAGCGCAACCCCTCGTGGGTGGCGTTGCAAGCAACATCGCAACCAGCAACTGCAAAATTATTGCTCTTTTGGTAGTCTTGACAGGGGAAGAGAATCTTTCAACAGATGTGTGCTTACCTCAGCACCTGTGCACGTCAGCAAAGCCCTGCTGTAGCGCCTGTGATTCCCCAGGAAATCCCCAGCACTGAAACAGGCAGGCAGGAGCTTTGCCATTCCGCAGTGCCGACTGATTGCTTGCCCCAGTTCCACTCTGCTGCCTGTGCCGATGTTCTGGGGGACATTGGATTCTGGGGTGCAAGGTGCTTGGTAGAAGGGCACTGTTTCTTTTGGGACGAAGTTTGACGTGCGCACCAGTCGGCAACAAGTCAGTGAGGACAGATTGCTTGTTGTCAACCACCCAGTTGGCCTCCTGAGCTGCTTGTGCCTGTGCTGGTGACAGGTACTGGAGGTTTAATAGGCAACCAGACAGACACGAGGCGGCGGACAGTGACCCCAAGGCAACGTTTAGAAAATTCTGCAGTGTGGCTCGCGTGCTTGATGTTTCAGAGCAGATTACAGATTGGGTATGTCCAACTGTGTACAATCTAGTTGTGCATCAGAGGGCCAAAGAACAGCTTGCGCACATGCTCTGTTGGTCTTGCTGTGTCCCCGAGTGCCGATGCAGCCATGCTCTCCCAAACTTGTGCCTTGTAGCTGAAGTTGCGAATGTTGCCACTTGTGAGTGCCCATGTCAGTGAAAAACAGAACACAGGGCTGCAAGTCAATGAACCATGTGCACTAAGGTCAACATTCCTTCATGAATGTGAGTTTGACATGAGGACATCCAGGCCCAGGCAATATTGACCGGGCATCATTGACATATGATCCCTGCGCTGGATTTGATAAGCAGCACATGCAGATGCCATTTACCATTGTGTTGAGGCTTTGTGTTGTCAATCCACATACTGCCTGCAATAGCGATGATTTTGTGCTCCAGTGGATGCTGTAATCCATGCTTTGTTGCAGAACAGTAAACTGTCTTGGCACGTGCTTTTGTGCAGCATTCTGTACATTGTACCATGGTATTTGCTTGTGTGCCTGCATGCTGTTTCTGTCATCTCTAACTTGTGATGCTCTTGCAGTTCTTCGGATGCCAAATGTGTGACTTGAGAAGGGACAACATAGCTGATCTCATTGCGTATGGGTTTTGGTACACAACAAGGTGCGCACAGCAGTCCTTTTCAAGGTCAGGTGAAATGAGTGAATGTTCTGCTTTACGTGTGCAGATAGAAGTAGGCCCTTTATCGTCTTCCACTGTGCGAAGATGATGCTTTGTCACTTGATCCTGTGAAAGCACTTGCCACAGGTGTTGCTTAGGATCCTGTGGTGCAGTCACAGGTTTGGCTCTTTGTCAGTCTATATCACCTTGTGAGGCGTGACAGTGGATGCTTTACTGAGATTTCCACCAGATACTTTGGTGAGCATGTGTACTACCATTTGGGAACTACCACCAAACACTGTGGCAGCATGAAGCATTGTGTCTTCGCCAATGTTGGTACAGTGCACTCTCAATGCTCAGATGTCACAGACCGGTGGCTTTGCCTTGCTTCTTTTTTGCCTTGATGTCTGTCCATCGGATCTCCAGAATCATGCTTGTGGGCAATGTACGATGAGCGCTATGTGTAGAGCAGTCTCAGTTTTCAAAAGTGAAGCCAGGTTTTGTACCTGATGGCTGTTGTCTGTGCTTTGGCAGAGAGCAAATGGAATCCGAGGGCAAAGGGGAGGCACTTAGGGACGCTCTCAGACTGCTGAAGGAGAGTGTTGGTGTTGATGCCCCGCCGGGGCACAATTCTAAATTACGCTTTCGATCTCACCTGTGGAATGCGTTGCCAGGTGTACACTTCCCGTTGGCCTTTTACGCATTCATGGAAGTTCTTGGTGAGTGCAATGCTCGGGACAGGGAGGAGAGAACTGAGTGGACATTTTTTCTTGTGCCTGCTTGTTTGTTTCCTCATTTGCATCGTAGTTGTTTTCTTTATCTCAGATTCGGGTGCCATCAGTTTTTTCTGTGTTTTTGATTGTGTTGTTGCGTGCAGATGGCCGCAAGAGCTGTACAGGTGTATGAAGATGTCAAAGCAATCGAGTGGCAGTCACTGGGGCCTTGCATGTGGAGTTGACAGCTCTGTGTCTGTGGGCCCAGGTTGTCTTTCCCATGTCGGACTCGTGCTTGGCGGGTTCACCAAGCACAGTCATGGCGACCTGACATTCTTCGTCCATGGTTTGCCTGCTCAAGAGCATCGGCAACCTTACAGTGATTCCAGGCCAGGGAAGGTGCCCATGGTGTTTATGCATGGCATTGGTATTGGTCTGTTGCCCTACGTGGGTTGGGTCCAGAAACTCAGGCAGATGGGCCATCCATTGATCGTGATCGAATGTCGCCACACCAGCATGAGGCTGACTTTCACAACACCGACGGTGGATGACACAGTGTCGCTGCTGGCCTCTGTCCTCGACAGGCTCCAAATCTCGTCTGTGGGTCTGGTGTCACATTCTTATGGCACCTTCATTGCCAGCCGCTTCGCAAGCCTCCACCGGCACCGTGTGGCCTCGCAGTGCTTCATCGACCCCGTGTGTTTTGTCATGCACAACCCCACCCTGCTCACAAACTTCGTATACAGACGCCTCAGTTTTCGCAGCATCAGGTCGCTGTTGAGGAGTGCCATAATGCTGCTAGTGGCCAGGGAGCCATCCATCGCGGCGTCGGTGTGCCGGCGATTTGCCTGGAGCCAGCTTAACCAGTGGCCCGACGAGCTGCCCGACAAGACTGTGATCGTTCTTTCAGCTCTTGATGAGCTAGTGCCTGTGGGGGATGTGAAGGAACTGATGGAGCACAGCGGCAGGGCGCACGTTCTCATCCACCCCACTTACCGACATGCACAATTCCTCATGTCACCCACCTGGCAGGCCACAATTTTGGACCGCATCGCCAAGGTTTGTATGTAGTGTGTGCGGTGAGCAGTTCAACTAATGTTGACAACGGGAGGGAGGGGAGGAGCGGCCCCGAATTTTTTGTGTCAAAATTTTGCCAAGAATAGGCAGGGAATACACGATTTGTGGTCAGTGGGTGGCTTGGACTGGTTGCGGTCGAGAGGGTTTGTCGTGATCAGGTTGCGCATCCTGGCCAATGGTGCAACAATAGTGTATGAGAACTGAAATTGGAGCGGAGGGCCCATTACCGGCCTGGAGAATTTAGTCGCCCGATAGAAGAAGGGAAGCGGAGTGTCTTGACCGTCATATTGGTTGTTACTTTGTTGCTCGTGTTTATGATGGACTCTGCTGTGCTGATTCTGTGTCCCTGCGGCATCTATCTGGATCAAAATGCAGTGATCCAGAAGCGAAACCTTACTGTTGGATTTATCTCCAGTGCTCATGCACAAAACCTCTTCCTGCCCGCACCCAGGTGTGTGTCGAAGGACGGCTGCAGTCCAATTGGAGCTGCTCCAAAATTGTAGGCTCGCGTGATGTGGACCATGCCGCAGGTTTCCATGTGCCTTCATCAGGTGATGCTTGTGGCGGCTGCATGTGCAGCGTGCTTTGCCATACTGTCGTTGTCGTGTGGTGAACACCCCGTGTTGTGACACGCAAGGCGCAGAAGGGGCATGCGTCTGGAGTACATATTCTGCAGAACTGAGCATCTTAAACATGGTTCCCGCACTCCGCGTTTCCCTGCACAAGTGATGATATTGCTGGAGCGATGCCAGCTGTAAGGAGACTCACATCTTTTGAGAAGAATGGCTGAATTACGACAACAGCATGGGGCACTGTCTTCAGCGGCACGGCCACCCTGATGGCACTTAAACTGCCAATGAGATGTCCCTTGCAGCTTTATAGGATCGACCAGTGAGGCACGACGGCCATTCCATCTTCCTACGACAGGCACTCGGGTCCCTTCACTAGGTGTTGAAGCTTTCAACAGTTGATGTGGCGCTTGGGTGCCACTAGGATTTCGTCCACCACAGCGGCGCATTCGCTCGCAGGCAGGCTTGTCGGGGACCATATTGTGTCAGCAGTGCTACGCTCAGCAAGGCCTCCAAAGTGTCTCAGTTGGCAGCCCCTGAGGCCGCCTTTGTGATCTATCGTGGCTTCAAGCATCCTGTTGGGCAATTCCTTGAAGACTTCCTCGACATGAAGAAATCATTGGGTAATTTGCTGACTCCTGCGGGCATTGACGTGAGGATTCACGTTAAGAAAGGGGAAGGGGTAAGATTGCTAGAAATGACAACGAGAAACGGGTCATACTAAGGGCACCACCTCCTATCGGGAGGTGCTTGGGGGACGATAGCATCAATGGGATAGTACGATCTACTTCTAAGTACGATGTATAAGCTGGCTGCAATTGATGGGCATCACCTACGTGGAGCACAGTGGTCATTCTTGGAAGCCAAGGGAAAAACAGCATGGAGGCCAAAAAGGCCATCAAGCACAGATGTTGGTGCCGCCTACCTGACACTATTCAGTGAGACTCACTAGCCACAACTGTGGGACTCCATAGTGCAGAATCTCCGGCCATCGGAGTGGCAACCCGTCCATTCGAAATCTCGCCACGTGCTGTGCCCAAGTGGTTCAGTTTCTCGCCCCCTAGAGAAGCACAGGCAGGCCTGTCACAAGCTTCTTGCCCTCTGGAAGCTTGGACCTTCAGTAGATTGTTCCCAGCGTGAGTCCTTCGAGAATGAAACAGGCAACGTAGTGCTTCCCTCTGTTGTCTCCAACCCATGAGGAACTGAGATTGGCAGGTCACCAGGGACCTGCGGGGCAAGGTGAGCGTAGCTACAAAGAGCCTGAGGAGATGCAAGGCACCTGGAATTGAGGATGGGGAATCGCTGTGCATACTTCAGGGAATAATCTCGATCATGAGCGGGAAGACCACGCCTGAACCTATAATGGAACGCGTCAAGTGCACACCAAGCCTTCCACGCGCTGCGTGACGGTGGGAGCGGAATTGACGGAATGTAATGGAGTGAATGTGTTTAAATCGGGAGTAGGGCCATTGGGAGGGAACTTTGGACGGCCAACGGGAGTGTCCGTTGTGGGCACACTTGGATTCGGTGTGAATGACGCTGCCGCTACGCAAACTGGGTATGACTGGCTCAGTGAGAAGTGTTTGGCACAACTCTTAAAGTTGTGGCTAGCTTATGGGCAGCGACCCTTGTTTCAGGGCGCGGTTGGTGATAAAGTCCAGTAAACCGAACTGAGCACAGTTTTGCACGGCTGGGAACGCAGTTTCGAGACGATCCATGCAAACGGGGAACTTGGGACTACAGGTTGGCGAAACGAGTGTGTGGCTATCGCGTTTTTCGCTCCCGCCCACCTCAACCCAGGTTATTGGCTTGAATTTTAATGTAAGGAGAGACAATTGGCAAACTGGTGTGACGGCACTCGAAGGTGTTAAAAGTGCAGAGTTTCTGCGTGTGTTTTCTGCAGTTTTAGAGTAGATGGTCAGGCGCCCCGAGTGTGCCCTCCTTACCCGAGTTAACGCAAAGAAGCAAGTCTATAAACGGGTGGGCAAGGCCCCCCGAGATTTAAGGAGTGTCGCCAGTTGCGGGATTGTAGCAACCACGACCCAGCGCCATTGACCACAGCCCGGTTAAAGCCGTGTCAGCAGTGTGTCAGCCGTTGTCGGCAGAGCACGCGTACGGCAGTCCCGGTCCACAAACGGCCAGCACATTCCGGGAAAACTTCGGGATTGGGAGCCTGCAGCCTCGGGGTGTGCTGAGCGCAGCTCCGACTGATGGTGGCTCCAGGCACAAAGGGGGCCCGCTGCTTGAAGCTTTGATGGGGCATCGCCTCTGAGCCACTGAGCGCGCCTGCTGCCTGCGCACCGGGCGTGTGCCCACGTTGGACGGAGGTGAGCCGCGCCGGCGAGCCGCGGGAGCCGCTTGGCAACGACCACAGGCGCCACCTTGGCGCCCGGCTCCAGGAGTGGCGCTTGTGTTGCTCCAGAGATGCGCGGCGCCGGCATGTCCGCTGGGGGCTAGTTGGCCCATTCATGCCGCGGCATTCAGATGCCAACAAGATGTCGCATTTCTGCGGATGGACACATTTCGTGACGCCAGGGGCTCACACGCGGCCACTGTCTTTCCGCACGGCCGGCGCGTTTTTCAGAGCGAGGCAGGACGAAGGGGAGGGGCGTGAACTTGCCCGGCGCAGTGTTGCGACGCAATATGCGCTTTACATTCGAAGGCGCTCCGTGGCTATCCCGCCCGGCCTCCAGCTTGTCCAAGGTGCCACCGCCAGCGGCGTGGGCATCGAAGCCGCGGGGTGATGGGACCACAACACGGCGGGGCGCAAAGGCCACGCTGGCCTGCTAGCGGCCTCGTAGCGGGGGCGGCGTTAGAACGCGGGCCCGACACCATGAGAGGTGGTGGTTGTGTGTCGAGGGTGCACGCGGCGCCTCTGCCGTCCTCTTTTGCGTGGCGGCGCCGTGGGCCTGGGAGTCTTGTCTTGGCAGTCCGAGTGGTGTTGGTGTTACGCTGCCAGTGCTTGGCCCGGTTGCGGAGTGCCACCGGCCTGTTGAAGTTTTTCGTACCGATAGTCAGCGTCCAACGTCACCCACAGCCCCACGCAACACCTTCGGCGGCGAGCGAACCGGGGTGCAGCGCGGTGGGCGAGCGGCGCTGTATGCTACCCCGCGCGGAGCTTGCGCCTGTCCGGGACGCCTGTTGCGCCCCTTGCTGATGGGCTGTGTTGTTTCGCCAGAGACGGCCACTTGATGGACCACCTGCTCAACCTCCTTCCCGCCGAGGAGGAGAACAGCACCTGGCGCGTCCAGGACTGGCACTGGGACCCCTGCAAGATGGAGGCGGAGCCGGTGGAGCGGCGCCCTTCATCCTCCCGCCGACATAATCGGGGCCCAGTGGTGTGCCAGGTGGATGGATGTGGGGCGGATTTGTCCGGCCTCAAGGAGTATCACCAGCGATACAAGATTTGTGAATACCACCTCAAGGTGTCGTCCATAGTGAAGGACGGGGCGCAGCAGAGGTTCTGCCAGCAGTGCGGCCGCTTTCACGGGCTGTCGGAGTTTGATGGCGTGAAGCGCTCCTGCCGGGCGCGCCTGGAGCGCCACAATGCCCGTCGGAGAAAGAAGTCGGACAGCCAGACGCCCAGCGCGAAAATCAGATCGGTGGGCCATTGCAAAGACGAGAAGACGCCGGTGAGCTCCGGAGAGTATGACATGGACGTCGAGATGCACTCCGCACCGGCGGGCGAGGGCGCCAGTCTCAGTTCGGGTGATCGCCGGGGCCAGCCTTTGCCTCACCTGTTGCAGATGCCACACGGCCCCACCAAAGGGTCGCTGATTGAGCAGTATTTCTACAACGACGAAGATGTCTCCATGGCGCCGGAGGCTCCCCGCGCTGCGGTGGAGGCCCTTCAAGTCGACCTGCCCGCCGCAGAAGTGCGCCAAGAGGCCGACCCAGTGGCGGAGGTGTTTAGAAATTTCGCCACCAGCACGGAGGCGCGCGACCTGTTTGCGGCACTGGCGAGGAACGAGGGCCAGGGGCATCAGAATGCTACACTCGTGACGCTGAGTGAGGTGCTCTTTCCACCAGCCGAGCGTGGCCTTGCTGGACGGCCGTTGTCCATGCAGGCCGTGCCCAGGCCTACAGCTTTCGTGGGGCCCACTATGGTCCGGTCTGGCGTGGGCGCAGAGTACCTCACGGCAGGCCCCATGTCCCAGGGGATGCCGCAAGGGATACTGGTGCAGGACGTAGCCAAAACAGAGGACACACGAGGGGTTCTACCCGATGAAAGGGCTGATTTGCAGGGAACAGCGGCCGACTCAGTGGGGCCTGGTGGCACTGTGCCGTTTGAATTGGTGAACCAAGGAGGCTCCTCGGCATTTTATGACAGTCTGTTGAGGTTGACGTCACTGTCTGTGAAAGTTTTTAACTGCACACCAGGCAACCTTCCCGCTGCATTGAGACGGGAACTCTTGAATGCAGTGAGAGGCGGACTTGTTCCAGAGGGCTACATGAGGCCAGGCTGTGTTCAACTTACCCTGGATGTAGCTCAAGAGAGAGCCACACTGCTCCTGAATGACTCTGTCAACCAAGTCGTCAGCAGAATGGTGGAGGGAGAAGATGAGGTGTTTTGGAAGAATTATCATCTGCTGGTGAGGAGTTGACAAGAACCCCCAGGGAATGAACGACTTTTTTGCCGATAATAGCTGCTTCTCTCTCAAAATCCATGCTGAACGCATTAAGTGCCATTGTGGCATTGCCCTTTCCGCTTATATTCTTGTGGTGCTTGCTTTGCTCAGGTCCAGCTGGCAGACCAGGTGGCCATTGTTCGGGAAGGTGCTGTCATTCACTCCTTCTGTCGAGAAGAACAGCCGGATCTATTCCCGACTGTCCAGAGGCCCAGCCCATTGTGCATATTGAATGAGCCAGGGAAAAAGTTCACTGTCCGCGGGAAGCGAATTTCTGGCTTGGAGGACACTCTGCTGTGTCGTATTCGAGGTGTGGCAGCTCTGCTGGAATTTATCCCGTCAGGTTATCTGTTCGATTGCGAGGATTGCGATGTGGTTGTGGATGGAGTCTTTTCCCAGGGTGGGCCCGGCATGTGTGCTGCATGTAATGTTGTTTCACCTGTGTTGTCTTGTCTATGCGCATGCACCATTTCAGATGCCACTGCAAGAACTGTACATAGTGTGCCTTATTAAATTGTGACATTGCATGGCTGGGAACTTTTGTTGTTTGTGTGCGGGGCACTCCCTGTGCTTCTCTACAACTCGTGTGACAGGACAGAGACAGAGGGATTGGCAGTTTGTGCAGTTGGCTTGCTGGATGAATGCTCTCTGTGGTATGTTTTGCGATGCTATCCAGGTGAACTGTTTTATTGGTGCTGCAACGTAGGGTGCGTCAAAATGCTGAGCTGTGCACAGAGCATCGGCCTATGGTGATTGCCAAATGGTGTACAAACATGCATGGTTGATCAAGTCGTGGCAAAGCACACTTTTCTCAGCAGGACAAGTGGACTCCAGCATGTGCTCCTGCCCTGTGTCTTGACTAGACCACTATGCATGTACCATTTTCAGTTGTGTGGAGGTGCCATCACGTCCAGAGCTCATTTTGTTGCTTGAATTGCACCATGTTCACCAGGTCGCTACGTCTCCATCGATGTGGACTATGACGCTCATAAGGACAGGGACGATGTTGAAGCTGTCGAATGTGAGATTCTGGAAGATTGTCCAGCGGGGGTACTGCGAATTGAGGCTATGCACATGGGAACACTGAGCAGCGGGCCACGGGTAGGATGCTGAGAAGTTGAAATACCATTTACTTTGGGGAAGTTTGCATTTGTGAGATACCTATGATGGCCTTGACTGACTGCTGGCAACAACCTGTTTATGGCATTGTGTCCATGGTTGGCTTCATTCTTAATTGGAAGAACAGGAAGGGGAACACTTGGGTAAAAGTGCAGGCAGTGATTGTAGCCCTTGAGCTATGGTGCCAGGGAAAGCCCTCAGGCATATTGTTTCTGGCTGGAATGGGCTGTTGTGTTGGATTGACCACATGCACGATGTGGCTATCTGCATTGCACTCTTGACAACAGGGTAGTAATTGGCGTGACAGTGACCGTACCGCACTTTAGACAACGCAATACAATGCATAGCAATGAAAGTTGCTATGCATTGTATTGCATTGTCTAATTATTCGGTGCCGCTGACATTAAGATGTGCTGTCTGTGCTAGGTTTTGCTGACAGCCAACGATCCAGAGGTTGTGGCTGAGGTTTGCTCGCTGGAGATGGAACAAATGCCAGGTTAGTTCCATTGGCTTCAGTGTTGCATGGCCTGATGTGTCAGATTTTGGGGCTCCAGCTGCCATTATCTGCTTTAACAGGACTGCTGGACAGGTGTTGAAAGACTGTGCTGTGTGCGCTTTTGTTCAGATGAGTGCCTGGATTCTTTCCTGCACGACATGGGCCGCGTGCTAGAATTTCGAGAGTGGGTGCTAGCTAGATATGATGTCTCCAACCCTGCTGCCACAACTGGAGAGGTGGCGAGCTGGGAGTACACTGTGGAGGAGATGGTTGCCATTGTCCACACCGCACGACGCCTTGCAAGTTTTGCACTGGAAAGGGACTGGACAGCGGTGCCAGAGACTGTCTTGCCAGTTGCATTGCTGGGGGCAGGGTCTGTGGCAGAGGTGACTTCCTTGTGCAAGGCAGGTCGATCAGACCTTTCTGGGTTGATGCGTCTTGCTGTAGAATCAGAGAAGCACTGTCTGGTGAGTGGCATTGGACTGCTGTTCCTGTCTTGTCCTGTGCCTTCCTCTTTGGTTGTGTTGTCCTGTGCTGTGCATGCATGTGAACATCCTACGGTGCCCATGCCATTCTCAGTGGTGTGGCCAGTGCTTTGAGCTGCAACTTTATCGCAACAGGAGTGCAAAGCCCAAGCTGAAAAGCTTCGCTGCATTGCAGGTGCACTTCTTGTGGGCATGGGCTGAGCAAGCAGGCTGCCCATTGGCAGCAAGGTCACTTTCCGACAGTAAAGGGGGCCCCGAGTGTCTGCTGCCATTGTGCCCAAGTGTCCAGGAGACTGTAAAACAGCATGGCCCGGGCAGCCATGCTCTATCTGAATCCAAGCCACATTCCCAAGTGCAGAATGCCTGTTGTGCTTCTCAAATGGTGGACGAGCGTGCTCTGTTGGGCCTACAGTCAGGTGCCGAAGAAATCTGCAGGAGAGAGTTGTTGCAGCAGGCAGCACTGTTCAGCTCTGTTGCCGGAGCCAAGACCCCTGGCATGGCAGCGGATGGGCTGCCTTGCGCTGACCAACATCAGGGCAATGTGCAGGATGAATGCAGTGCTGCCCCAGTCATCAACAAGCCCATCGATTCAGGAACACTGAAGACACCTGCGCTGCACAGTATCAAGGATCGCCACCAAAACAAACCTGGCATTTCCATCCCAGCATCTGTTGAGTGTGCACAGCTTGGCAATGATGGCAATGATGGCAGTGCAGCGCGTACACCACTGCAGGATTACAAGAATCGTGTACCAATCAGAGTTGGCAAGGGCTGGGTTATGAATAATCACCGAGAGAAGAAAACAACTGAAACCATCTGGCAGTTTGCTCGCAAGTCTGCATGCTTGCTGTCAGCAGGCACCATTCTCGACAGCTTGGAACAGACAGGCTGCAAGAGCATAGGAACGATCTCCTGCTGACAGGACACTTGTGGCGAATGTTCCAGTCGTGGTGTGGGTTTCTATACCAACAGTTATGAGCTGCACGAACAGGATGCCGTTCTGTCTTGGAATGATTTTCAATAGCGGTTGAAGTCATAAATTGTGGCAAAAGGGCGATGTCATGCTCTCAACAACTGCCAGTTGAAAGCATTGGGGTATTTAGGTCGTCAGTTTTTACCCTTTGTGCGGCCATGTCAGCAATGGTGTGTTGCATTTCGACCTTTGCCTCAACGGGTACGACAGCAGTACTGGTAAAGTGTTGGTGAGGAATGCAAGGATGGCGTTAAGTGGTGGTGGTGAAATGGACAGGTGGCTCAGGAGAGTGGAGGGTGGCAACACAGGAGAATGTGATGGATGGTTTGCGAGATGTGTTGTGTGTGCGCAAGAATGGGGTTAAAAGAGCATGACAGTAGAAGTGTCAAAAACGGGGAGTTGGATGTTGTGGACAATAATGAGGACTGCATTTGTTGCGGTCTGTTTACCATTATGGATGATTCGTAAAGACCCAATAACGTGTGGTCGTTAGCTAGTTGAAACATTGTGCAGGTGTGGTTGGGGGGAAATAAGGCTTGTCAAAGCACCATAATTGCATGCCCTCAGCAGTTATCCAAAGCGGGGCAATGGAAGGATCTGATTGACTGTTGTGATGCCAGGTTTGCTAGTCGATCCGCGATAGTGCAAGGCTACGGGTCACTGACAGTCCTGGATCCGAGCGTTGTGGTGCTCTCTTCAAAGTGTTAGGTATTCTCTTTGTCACGGCATGTGCTGCTTTCTCAGCTGCACGTTTGCCAGCACTGGGACCAGCTTGTAGATTTTATTGATAAAGCGGCTTTCAGGTGGTAGGGAGGTCTTTTGTCTAATAATATGAAACTAGTGCAAAAATGTGTATTTGTGGGGACAAGTTAGGGCATGCCACAATAATTTGCACATGCCAACAAACAAATGGGTGGATGGTCAATGTCTATCATTGGCGACCCATAATATGTGGAGCCAGAACTCAATAGCGCAGCTACAGCACAGCAGGGAACCTTGTAGGAGATTTTAGGTAGAGCAGCCCTCCCTCAAAAGGGCACTGCAATGAGCGAATGATTGGCGACAGGCTTCAAACAAGACTGACCTGCTATGTGACGAACCTGTTTAATAGAGCCTCATCCCATATGAACTGGTTCGAGTGCCCAGATTACCTGCTTTCCATGTTGAAGTACTGACACTGCGGATTGTAGGGTTTAAACCCGTTTTGGACTGGCCTTGTCTGTTGCTAGTGCAGCCTAAAGACGAGGTCACTGTTGGGCTGGACAGCAGAAAGAATGAATTGCCGGTTGGAGATGGCGAGTTTGGTGCGGTGGGAAATGATGCGGCCACAATGTAGGGGGGGGGGCCGGGCGATGGTATTCGTAGTTGTGTTGGCCATTGCAGTGGGTCCAGAAAAGAAACCCACCGTTGGACAGGAGGTGATATGTGTGTGGAATGGAGAATACACGCTAAACACTCGGCGTAGTATTCGACAATGAAAAGCAAGATTGTGTATTTGTGTAAATGAGCTGTTCGAGTACCATGATGTTACAAACAGCTGACAAACACCGCCAGGAGGGTGTCTACGCTTGGGAACAGCAATATGGCTCACCGTCCAGCCATATACGCTCAACGAAAGTCACTAATGACACAGCCACTATTACAGCCCTGTCAATCGCCCAGCATTTCTGAGCGTTCCGCTCCTGCACTTTTACCAACTTAGTTCATAAACACTCACAGGACAACGAGAATCACCACAGCAAGTAAATTCATGCCCAACAGGATACTTGGGGTGTGGTCGAGCGCTGCCGAAGCGAGGCGCAACCCCAGAGCTGAACTTCGTGTTCAAGTTCACCTTAGCCGTTCACATACAACGAGAAACATGCAACTGCTGACCAGCTCGACGAGAGGCACGAAAATACACACTCAAACTGCGAAACGATGCTCCACACCTCGCTCAGTAGCTCAGTATGACGAGCGTACTGACCATTCTCCAGATGTCTCAAACCGATGTCGTCGATGCTCGTTCCTTGCGGTCCAGCGCTGCGCTCCACTCACTCGCCAAGCAGCGGACGATGAAGACGGGTCGTTGAGTCGACGAAGTCAGCGCCCAACGTGGGCGCGCGCGGGTCAGTCGGTCAACGGAATGGGAATCGAGCTCGGCGTCGAGCTATGGGTATGTGCAGCGGTGCACAACCCCAAGGACAATTGACCCGGAGGGTCAGGAGGCGAAGGCACACGGAAACGAAAGTGCTCGTTACACAGCTGCTCCCCTTCGACCACGTTCGACCTCCACACACTCACAGCACGACCGTTTTCAACAGAGCACCCGCCGTTCAGACCGCCAGAACCAAAAACGGACGGGTGGGGGGCGGAGAGAGAGGGGAGAGGGGGCACCCACACCCCAAACACTCCCTCCTAAATACCCCCGCCAGCTCCAAGGGCACTACACTTCAGTGACCCTTGGATAAACAAACAGACACATCAAGGAAAAGGCCCCAGTACCCCTTGTACTCCTCAGAAGTTCCCATTGACCTTCTCCAAGTTGACCCTTTTCAAAGGGTCACCCAATACAACCAAAAAAGTCACTTTTGACCACTACAATATTAATCAACATCCGTCAGCACCCCTTGGCAGCACCCCCATGAAGATGTACTGCTGTACATCTTCTTCCCACTCACGCTGCGATGAACTAATGCTGTAGGTTCCTGAAAAATCAAATTAGGGGGAATCCCCCTATCCAAACAAAAATACACCTAATGCATTTTTCATCCCATGTACACCCATCACACCCCACAATCCCGTAGTGGGTATTGTCCCCAGGCTGCCTAACCTATTCTACCTCCCTTTCCCCCATGTGCGACATGCGTGCCCTCAATTGAATTCCCTGCATTATCCAGCCTCCTTCCGGGCCTGGCAGCTCCACATCCCACTCAGCTGTTACGTAAGCTTTCCAACGCGACGCGGCGACCACCCTCCAGTACGCCCGGGTGGCGCGCTCCACCATCCCCACCGGCAGCCCCCCGTCTCCCTCGGCGAGGCCGCCCACGCACCCCTCTCTGGCCCACGCGAACGGCGCGGGCGGGCTGTCCGGGCCGTCGCGCTCGGCGGCCATCCAAGCATCCCTCTCGGAGATGCTCCAAACGCCCTCGCCGCGCCAATTCGCGGCGAAGACACTCCGCCGGAGCCGATCGCCCAACCGAACGTTGGGGATCGCCGCGACCCAGTAAGCTCGGACGGCAAACAGCTGGCCGTTCCGCTGCCTTATTCGCCACCGAGTCGTGGCATCAAAAGCGGAATGGATCCAAAAGAGGGGCGTTCCGGGGCCGGAGGCCATGGCCCATGCCTCCGCCCCACCGAGCCCATTGCGGCACGCGAGCACCACTTTGCCCGCTTCGTCCGGGCCGACCAAAGGCTCGCCCGGGCCCCTTCGTCCTTGCGTGCACGGATCCACAAATATCCCCGGAGGGAGAGAAAACACCGCTCCGCCATGGAGCATGGCGGAACCGGAGGGTCCGCCCACACCGAATGCGAGCACGTTCGACCCGCCTGCGGAACGTGGGGATGCTTCGGCCATGGCGAGGGAGGGCTTCCGACGGTCCCTGCACGGTCGGGGAGGCTGGGGTGTTGCGGCGCGCCGAGCAGGCCGGGCACAGTGGGCGTAGGCGGGGTGCAGGCGCAACCCGCGCGGACCAGATGCAGGGGGGCGCGGTCACGTCCGACATACGGTACATTACACGAAATATCAAAAGGGCGGTCTCCCGTACAGGTGCAAAACCACAAAGTACTGTTAGCAGCCGCACCCAACGTCCCATCACGCCTCACTGGACCCCTATACCCTACCAGTACCTGTCCCGTCAAGGTCCTAGGATCTTTTGCAATAGTTCAGGTCCATCCAAGGACACCCCCTACGGTTCATGGTCTCCTCAAAAGAGTTCAGGAATTGGCCGTTTTTCCCTCTGAAAGTCACTCAAAAGGCCCTTACAAACCGGCCAACCTCTCACTCAGGGTCCCTCACCACACGCCCTGCACACACCGTGCCTCTTTTTCCCCGGCTAATAGTACTGGACAATCTACCATAATCACATACTAAACCCAATTCTGTACACCAAATTCCATCACCGTCAAACTGTATTGTATCCCGTCAGCATGCGGCTCCAGCTGACTAGTTTTCGCCCTTTTCCTTGACCAGTTCACAGCCCAGTCACAGCCGTCCGTGCTGCCCGTAGAGTGCTCTTCAATTGACGTCATTGTTGCTCATTCTGGACGGTTCTGATGAGCGGCATTGCAAAACAGCGAGATGGAGGACATCTCAGCTGTAAATGCATCAATTCGTGTGCACTGGAGAGAAGCTGAGCGTGCATACGTTTGCCTTGATCATTCAGCAGCTGCATGACCGCTAAATGTAACCGTATGTCATGCGGTTCAATGTGATTTCTGCTGAGCACATTGACCTTTCCTTTCTCTACGGTTTTCTCTCGATTACAGTGGTGGCCATTTACTTGGGCAGAATGGACTGTAATCGAACAACGCAATAAGAGTTATATACTTGTTCGGGTCGCCAATTAATGGGGCTCATCAAAACGCTAGCAAAATAATGATATCACTCAGCTGGCGACCCGTGAAGTGCAGATTTGGTGCAGAGGGGATGTCGAAAGCCTCAGCACGTTCGCCATACTGATGATCACCCAGTAGGTTGGTGCTCAATGAGGCAGAAAACCCAAAACATCAATCAGGAGTGCTCTAGAATTTTCTCGCAATCCAAGCCCAAGGCACTCAGAATGCAGGGAGATGACTTTGATGACAAAGACAGATGATGGCAACAGTATCATACGCCCAAAAAGTTACTGTAAAACTGTTGAGCACAACACCAATACGTGGCAGCGCATCACACGGAGACACATGAGTCAAACATGCCCTGAATACGCCTTGGAATACTGAGGAGCACCTGGGTTGCCACTGGACAA